CCTCTCTCTCTCTCTCTCTCTCTCGGTCTCTCTCTCTGTGCTCTTTATTTCTCTCTTTCTCAAACCGACCAAACCAATTCAAACTCTCTCTCTCTCTCTCTCTCTCTCTCTCTCTCTCTCTCTCTCTCTCTCTCTCTCTCTCTCTCTCTCTCTCTCTCTCTCTCTCTCTCTCTCTCTCTCTCTCTCTCTCTCTCTCTCTCTCTCTCTCTCTCTCTCTTTCAGTTTCAACAACAACAACTGTGTGTGTGTGAGTGAGAGAGTGAGTGCGGTCGGGGCCCGAACCGCCTTGCCCTCAGCAGCATTGCCATCACCATTTGCCATCACCGTTGCCGTCGTCGCCGTCGTCGTCGTCGTCGAAGGCATTGTCTAGCAGGTGCTTTCCTGAGCTGGGGTGTTTTAGAAACCCAGACGACAGACCGACGCGGATACGCCCTGGGTTGGGTGTGCATTGTCCTCCGAGCCAGCTGTTGGCAGGGTCGGTGTCTTGGGCGCTGGGCTCTCGCTGCTTTGCTGCCGGTTGCCACACGGACACGGACACGGACACGGACCTTGCTCCATTGGCTCCGTCACAAGCCATTCCTAGCTCTCTCTGCCCTAGACCACAGTCATGAACCGCTACGAGATTACAAAGACCTTGGGCGATGGCACTTACGGTAGCGTCCTGCTCGGCGTCAACCACGAGTCGCATGAGACCGTCGCCATCAAAAAGATGAAGAAGAAATACTACTCATGGGAGGAATGCCTCAGCCTCCGGGAAATCAAGGTACCAGCCAGCCCCCAGACGTCACCGGTATTGCCCTGTTGTTCAACATCAGCTGACACACCACTCTACTGCCTGCCTGCCTGCCTGCCTGCCTGCCTGCCTGCCTGCCTGTCTACCTGCCTGCACAGTCACTCAAGAAGCTGCACCATCCCAACATTGTCAAGCTCAAAGAGGTTGTTCGTGAGAACAATCAGCTCTTTATGATTTTCGAGTTTATGGAGTCCAACATGTATGACCTCATGAAAGTCCGGTGCGTACAAACACTCACTCAAGCAGAAGCCTTGTTGTGTGCCTCGACCCCGCCCACCGAACCTGGGCTTTTTTTTCTTTGATTATGGCCCTCCCCCCTCTTGTCCCCACTCACTCTTCCGCTCCCACAAATGCATCGGCGCTCACAGGAAGAAAATGTTTCCCGAGCAACAAATTCGCAACATGGTGTGGCAAACCATGCAGGGTCTGGCCTACATGCACAAACAAGGTTTGTCCCGCGCGCGAACGCCGCCACTCTTGACTGGGCCGCACAATCCGCGCTCACACCCACTCATCGCATTTTTTGCAAACTACAGGCTTCTTTCACCGCGACCTCAAGCCAGAAAACATTCTATGCAACGGCCCAGAGCTCGTCAAGATTGCCGACATGGGCTTGGCCCGCGAAATCCGCTCCCGCCCCCCCTACACAGACTACGTCTCCACGCGCTGGTATCGTGCGCCCGAGGTCCTCCTCCGCTCGACCAATTACAACTCGCCCATTGACCTCTGGGCCGTCGGCACCATCATGGCCGAGCTTTACACCCTTCGCCCCTTGCTGCCCGGCAGCAGCGAGGTCGACACCCTCTTCAAGTGCACCGCCGTCTTTGGCACCCCCTCCAAAGCCAACTGGGCAGAGGGCCTCAAACTTGCCAGCAAAATGAATTTCAAGTTTCCCCAAATGTCTGCCACCCCGCTCCGCACCCTGGTGCCTCAGGCCAGCACTGATGCCATCGATCTCATGCAAGACCTGATGCAGTGGAATCCGGCCAAACGCCCCAACTGCGCCGGTGCTCTCCGCCACGCCTACTTTTGTGCCCATGGCGCCCTGCCCGACCCACCCCCCAATCGCTACGCTGCTGAAGGCCTTAAAAATTCCTCTTCCTCGCGCCGCGTCTCAGCAACGCGTCAATCCAGTGGACAAGGACCCATCACCGTTCGCAAATCTTCGGCTGGCTCCCGCCAAGTCCCAAAGCTTCCCACGATCCAGCAAGAAGCCACGCCCACCCCGGCCAATGGACCGGCCTTGGGTCAAGACCACTGGGGTCGCTCGGCGGTCAGTCTTGCTGTTGCGCGTGCGTAGCTGTATATATGACTACAAGACGCTACAAGGCTCATCGCTCCACCTTTGTTTGCTGCTCGCAGTCTCGTGAATCAAGTGCCAAGCAGCAGCAACGCCGGCAGTGGCAAAAGCCCGGCGGTGTCCAAGCTGCCGCTGCCGCCCCCTCTGCTGCTGCTGCTGCTGCCAAACCGGCCCGGGGTGGTGTCCGAGATAGCTGGGACTTTATGCTCGATACCAACGCCCCGGCCCCCACCACAAAAGCCCGAGCTAGCAAGGATTGGACCCTGCCCGATCTTGCAGAGAAGCCCAATTCAGCTGCGGTACGCTCGCCATGCCCCCTTTCTGTGTGCACATGCCACTTGTATGTTTTGTTCTGTTTGGGGTAGAAACGGTGCCTTGTTTGAAACTCATGGTCATCTGCCTGTGCATCGTATCATGTCCATTGTTGCCTTGCCTCGTTTTTTACAGCGCGCCACTCGACAGCAAGGCGCAGCTTACCATGCCGGTGGTGCTCGCTACCTACCACCCGGCCTTCCCAAGGGTAACAGCAGTGCAGCTTTGGACAGCAAGTCCCATCCCTACCACTTTGTTGGACTCAACGGAGCTGCCCCAGCCGGCCACGGTGCGGGTGCTGGCAGTGCTTTCAGTCGACAGCTGGATGTGCGCGGCCATTCTAGAGAGCGCGGCCGTGGTCCGGCCGGCGCCAGTGCTGCCCCATCTCACGATGCTCTGGACAGCTTGCTGGCTGACCTGCGCATCAAGGACAGCAACTTTGATCGAGGGGCGCGCGTGAGTGCTGCTCCAGGCGTTGGCACCAACTCGGCCATGCCCCGCAAGGGTATCCGTGCCAATGCTGTCAATGGTCGTACTGACTGGGCCTCGAAATATGGCAATTAAGGATGGCCCCGGGTCACCTTTTGTTGTTTCTGGTGTTCAGGACAGGCCGTAGGCTTCTCAACATTCTGATGCCTGCCACATTGACCAGCCTGGGGCCTTTCTCGGTGACAGGCTTTAAGTAACTAGGGTTGCGTGTCTTATCCTTCTGATAATATGTATCCGTAATGGCCGTCGTTGTAACGAACTGCTATTGCTTGTACGAGCTGAGCTCGACTCTTTTTTTTCTGCGAGTTGTTCCTCTTTGAAAAGGGGATTGCTAAATGCCATCAATTTATCCAACAATACATGTACTTTCATTTCATCTAATCGAAGTCGTTCGTCGTCGAGGATCGATCAATCGTGACTTGACCTTTTTTTGTTCAAGTGTAGATTAATGCGCGTTGTGTAGCTCAAAAGCATAGAAAGTGGTGAGGTCAAAGAGATCAAGAAGCGGTATTTATGCCCTTTCGAACAAATCAGGAGAAAAACGCTTTATGCATGCACCATGCTTGTAGTGGGGTGCGTGCCCGTCAACCTCTAACTTCTGAGCCAAAATTCTCAAAAAAAAAAAAAAAAACCATTGCTTGATTTTTTTTACCAAAAAAATAGTTTTGAGTCACTGCCGGCTCAATTTTTCTAAGTGCCGAACATTCGTCACGCTCAAAGGAGAACAGCCGAGGTTTGTGCTCTATTTGCGGCGGCGGCCTCCACCACGGCGATCGCCGCCACGTTCACCGCCGCGATCACCGCCGCGATCACTGCCACCACGATCACCTCCGCGGTCGTTACCACGGTCGCCTCCACGATGGTCTGCGCGATCTCCACCACGATGGTCTCGATCACCACCACGATGATCAGCTCGGTCACCTCCACGACCGCCACGGCCGCGATCACTTGCTCGACGACCCTCCTCGGCATTGCCGTTGCCACCACGGGGCAACGAGGGCCCCTACACATGCAAGTCATGGTTTGTTCACGAGTGAGAGCCACAGACAGGCCGGCGTTCAACAGCCTGTTCAAGCTTACCTCAGGCGTACGAGCGCGCGCGTTGCCACCATCGCCATTTCGGCTGCCACGTCCCCCGCGTCCTCCCGATCCGTTGTTGCCATTGCCGGCATTGTTGTTGCTGCCTCCACTGAGACGCTCTTCCAGCTACAGCACCCATTGATACGCACGAAATTGGCAAGCTCGGTCAAATGCAAGCAACAAAACACATACAAGAACGGAAGACGAAGCGTGCTCTGAGCAATTCTACCTAGAGCAGACCAGGACAGACCTTGGGACGCTTGACGTCGCGTGCCTCGTTGCCACCTTCAGAATCCTTGTTCGTTTCGCTGGTAGCACTATCCTTGCGAGGCTTGCTGCTGCCACGAGCCCGTCGCTCGTGGCGTGAAGATCTGCTCTCTTTAACCTCTTTAGCCTCTTCGCCCTTGGCCGCTTCACCCTTGGTCGCTGGCGGCGCAGCAGGGCCCTCCTTTGCTGCATTGGCACCGTCCTTGTCCGTGCCGCCCGCCTTGGGCTCAGACTTGACGTGCTTGGCTGGCTCCGTGGCATTGCGCTTGGCCGCTGGCAGCCCAGCACCACTGTCGGATGCCACGCGCTTTGGCGAGTTTTCTAGAATCATGGAGTCAACCAGGGTCAGGTGGGTGTCCCGCAGTGGTGCTGAACAAGGCTGCAGGACATGAATCGACGAGACTCACTCGCAGTGTCGGGCTCTGTTGTATGTTGTTTTTATAACCCAGTCGGCATGACACCAGGCGACAACAACAAAAGCAATGCACATCGTGATGAGACAAGGTTGCTGAATGCTTCAGGTTAGTTCATTCATGAAGATATAGTCAGCGCCCGATGCGCCCAGCACTCACCTTTCTTGGTCCGCGAGGTTTTGGTATGAAAGTCACCCTATTCGCCAATCGTAAACACCATTGTTGAGCAAATGCGTCATCTTTTCCCCAAATAGCAAACCTCATCAGGCGCTCGTCCATCATCTGTCCAAACCAACCTCAGCCACAAGCGTGTCCTTGATGGCACGCAGTTGCCCGAGACAGGCCCGGGCCATGACGCGCACATCGGAACGAGTCTCTTCACTATCGGCTAGGGCTTTGATGCGTTTCTCCAAACCTTGCCCAATGACGCGCAGGCGCGGAAAATAAGGCATCAGCTAGAGCAGACGCGAGGCGCATTGGATGAGTTGGGAACGCGTTACCCCACACAAATGAGATGGCTAGCGCAGGCAAACCTTGGTCAGAACAACCAGCGCGCGCTGCAAAATGTCTGCATCCTTGGCATCCGCCTCCAAAAGCATAATCAAAGCCTGCGAGCCAAGTGTACGCCAATTGAGATGATTCATCACGCCATCTCCATGGCGCTTAGACAGGGAGAGATGCACAGCAGCCGTTGCAATACCTTGGTGAGCTTGCAATGCCATTTGTAGCAAAGGCTGCGAAAGTCTTCGTAGGTGATGATGGCACGGTGGCCCTGCGAAGCAAAACCTGACGGCGAGCCGGCAATGACATGCGCAACAAGGTCAGAGGGTAGTCGCGGCACCTTTTGGTTTGAGTGTGAGCAGAAATACAAACTACTTGGACACGTTTACAAGCACATACCACTTTGCTGGCGCTCAAACTCAACCTTGCTTCCGTGCCACTTGTCCAAAAGCTTCAGCGTCTCTCTCAAGAACCGGCCGTAGCGATGCGCCTCATTGTAGGTGCAGCTAGAGAAAAGATTTTCGAACACATATGGACAGGTTCACACAGAGACGGTGAGTGCTGTAATCATCTATGCTGCTTTGACGCATCGAGATGAAACAGAGAAGTGAGGAGTGATGGGGGTGACATGCCTGCTCAGTGTGCAGGTGATATCCTTGAGCACGCGGTCGTAGTAGAGCAGCGTGTTCCACTGCGGAGTGCCCATGTTGTGCAGCATCTCGGCAAATTTGGCGCAATAAATGGCATCTGCACGTCACAACACAGCGATTCAAAGAATGTCAGGGGTTCGAAAATAAACCCAAAAGGAATGCTGATCAAAATGCAGGGCGCGTCACCATCGCACCAATAGCCGAGAAGAAGCAACGGGGAAACACGCAGGTTTGCATGTACTGCGTGATCCAGCTAATGCGGGTACCCGTCTAGAACCACGGACGCGCCAGGTAAGAACGACCCCTTATTTGCATGTGCTCACACGGCACGACAAGGACTTTGAGGATTCGGCCAACCTCGGGGATCCAAGTGTCCTTCTCAGTTTCCAAACGGTGCTGCACAAACTCGACATGTTGAGTTTGACGCTATGGTCGGCGAAAACAAGACCGTGAGAGGAAGCGCAATTGATCATGCACCTCTCCCAGTTTCTTTTCGAAAGGCTCAAGACATACCTGCTTCTCAGCCCCCAGCTTGGCAATGACTTCTTCATAATGGTGAATCTCCCGGCGTTTCTTGGCGCCGCTCTGGTTTGAAGCCTCCACCTCGGCCTGGCGTCACGTTTGCAAAAGCAAAAAAAAAAAAAAAAAAAAAAAAAAAAAAGTCAGCGGGTGAGAAGATAGAGATAGTTTAAAAGTCACAAGCAGAAAGCCGTCCGTCATTTGTCTTGGGCAGGTCAATGCCCGTGATTGCCACAGCCCATGCACGACTCACAATCGACTCTTTGCTTTTGGCAATGGCCTGATCATACGACTTGCTGGGCAAGAGCAGGTCCGGAAGCGAGAGGGACCAGAAGGTCATGTAAAAGTGCGGCTGGATGGTGCGCCACAGGGTTTCGGGATGCAAAAGCTTCACATCCTGGCAAACCGGAGCGAGCGTGCGCTCGCAAGCCTTGAGATAATCCTCTTTGGTTGGGGATTCCAGAGCCGCCATCTCGGCAGAGATGCGATGGCGGATGGCGCTCCTGCACAGGCAACATCAAAACAGCATGGGGAGCATGAGGAACGAGAACAGCGATGCCCAATATGTCTAAACAAAAGAAAGGCACCACCCAGGGAGAAACTGTGGATTTGGAACCTCTGGGTCTCAGACGTTCAAGCAAGCTCATACCGTTGCAGGAAGAGGCCGACATCGGGCTCCAGCTTGTACGTTGAACATAGCTTGGGCAATTCAGGCAGCTTCTCAGCCAGGTAGGCATCTGACGGACGTGCATGAATAACAGTCAGAGTCATCAATATCCTGCTCTTCAATTCTCCGAGCTCGGCTATAATAGGTGAACATACCGCCCAGATGCACTTCCACAAAGTCGTGAAACTGAATCAGCGTTTGTTGCAGTTGGTCATAGGTGTCTCCTAGGAGCTTGAGATGCAGGGACTCATCGGAATGGAAGACCAGGCTAATGGAAGTGGAGCGGCGCAGAATGTGGTAAGAGTGCGAGAGAAACAGGAGCCGGCATGAACAAAAGCACAAGATACCTTTCGCGTTGCTGGCCCATAAGGATGAGCAAGGGAATGGCCATGCTGTCGTCCTTCAAAGCAGCCCGCAGACGCGCCACGGCTTTGCGACGATCACGCGTTTGCCGCGTCTGAGGACAGAACCAAACAAAATAAAACGTCAGACCAAACAAAACAAACGAAGGTAACTCCCAGCAACTACCCCTCTCAGGGTATGCAGAATAGCGTACGGAAATGAATGAACCGCCTTCGGCGCGCAGTGTCGGGCCACCGCTCATGGCTTCTAACTGATCCTCCGTCATATCTAAGGGGATGCGTGTCATTGCAGAGGGATGCAAAATTTTGGTCAGGCGCGTCACAACCCCCACAACGACGCACCAATCACAAACATATTTGTTGAAGCAACATTGAGCGAGTCTTGAGGCAAGGTCTCACCCTCGACACTCTCGATGCTGGCAATGGCCATGATCAAGTCCTTCAGAATGATTAGGTCGAAGGTTTCGTTAACTTTGAGCTTGTTCGCAACGTACTAGACAAGCCATGGAAAGTAAGGTCGCTAGTTGTCACTCGTGATCTGAGATTGTGTGAGAAGCCATGCAAAAGTCCGGGCCATGCAAGAGTCCAAACCTGCAAAATGGGCAGCATCTTGATGTCGTAGCGTTTGAGCAGAGCACCCGTGAATCGGGAGAGATTTTGCAACCATAGCGCCAAGTGAGACTCCTAAGTGTGCAAAGCGTCAGGTCGGAGCAATAAGAACGAAGGTGAGCATGCGCACACGTTGGGTGTGGGCCGACGTGCGAAGCTGAAAGTGGCGCCCGAGCGCATACCCCGGGCTTGATTGCAGTCTTGCCCGGGGCTGTCAAGGCCTCCAAAATGCAGAGGATCATGACGTCGAAACCCAACGCATCCATGTATTTGATGGCTGTGACAACAACCTCAATCAAATTCTCGTATGACTACTCGGATGCGACGTGGGGGGACGGGCATGTGGTGAGCGAGCTCTGGCTGGACTCTGCGTCAGGCTTGACAAGATGACGATACGCATGAGGCATTGTTGCTGTACCTGCAATTGAGCCAAGAGGGCATCGATGACGGGAATAGGGCAGCTGTGCGAGAGCTTGCCCAGGCGCTTGCCAAACTTTTTAGCCGTTTCGGAGGAGAGACGCTTTAGAATGTACTTGCTCTCCTTGACGGCATTCTCGGCCACGCCACGCAGTTGAGCGTGGGACTTGAGCGTTGATCGCTGTTTGTGGTACACAATAGATGCGAAAGAGTAGGTCATGAGTTGAATCGACACTACAGCTGTACACAACTGTGGACCTTGGAAAATAATAGGGCAGGTCTGCCGCCAACCTTCCACTTGGAGTACAGGCGAAAGCGTGTCACGTAGGGTAGGTATTGCAACACCTTGTACACTTGATCAGACAAGGGGGCGTTGCTATAAACGACCACGCAAAGACAAGACATAGACATGAGGTGGGACGTGGTGTGGCAGCGCCCATCAAGGGAGGCGATAGTAGCGAGCAGAAGACATCCTCGTTTGGGTGAGGCCAGTGCGCGGGCTTGATACCTGGGCATGACGGTGAGCGCTGGCAGCAAAACCGTGTCCATCAATTGCTCAATCTGGGGAGCAAAACAAAAGTGAAGAATTGGCTTTTGATTGTCAGACGGCAAGGCGGCCTTGATTGGCACTAACCTCATCTTGAAGGTTGGACGAGGTGCTGTCCATTTCAGAGGCAGCGCTCAAAAAAGTCTCACAGAGTCGCAAAACCTGACGCACGTGGCGTGTAGGAGAGCGAGGGGGGAGGCACCATACAGGGTGGACGACAGCAGCGAGGGGTTGAGTGAAGGCACGCAGCAGAGACAAGAAGCATGTCTGGTCAAGAGCGAGGTGGAGCAAGGGGTTGCAAGCGCCGTACCTTGGTAAAGAGGAGGATGTCCTGCCCGACATAAAAGCCAATCTGATGAAGCATGGGGAAGACATCGGCAACAAACGTGCCAAAGCTGTCGCAGGGGGTGACGTAGCTGTATCGCTTGTGCTTGGCCGCCAGCGTTGGCGACAAGCGCATCAATTGCTGCAACGGGGCGGTCAGGTGAAAAAACACGAGTGACAGCATGAGCGTGTGTCGACCAATTACGCGTTCTAGGCATGGTGTTGGAAGGTGAAAGGAACAAAGAACGTACCGGGACAGCACTGAGTTTGCGATAAAGGGGCTCAATCTTGACGTGAACAACGTCAAGCAGAACTTGTCGGAGGTCGGCTTGAGTGGCCGCAAAGGATGGCGGCAGCATGTCGAGGATCTAAAGCGGCTCGCATGAAGATCCGGGCGGGCATAATTAGGCCCTGGAGCTCGTATGATAGGTCAAGAGAGGCAGGTGCGCGGCCCATGTTAAATGACTGGACGTACCGTTTTTGCTGCAACCCAGTTGTTGGCAGCAATCAAGGCACTGCAGAGCCCCAAAAACTGGTTCTGCGCAGCTTGCTCGGCCAAATCCCGGCCCTCGGCGTCGGTCGTCTATACATTTACGGGTAGTCCGATGAGGATGGCACAAAATGGTTGTGGAGGAGTGGCCAAGAGCCATCGAGTTGAGCATACCTTGCCCTCGCTCATCAGGCGCGCCATGGCCTCTGTGTTTTCAGCGGTAGGCGAGAGGTGGGGCTCGATATCTTCAATCGTCAGCAAGCCCTGCTTCATGAGCACGGCGGTCATTTCAAAGAGGCTCTTTGGTGTCTTGGTTTCAGCCGCCTGGGCAAGCACGGGCCAGATGAACATGAGTGATCATGTCAGATCCTTGCAAGGAAGAGAAGAGAAAGGAGCACGGGAACATACAGCGTAATTTTGAAACTTGAAGCCCACAAGTGAGGCAAGCGATGAGCCCAGGGCCGCATAATCTCGAATGACGTTGAGTAGCTCGGGCGAGCGCGTTTGTTCAAACATGTCCAGGATGACATCAAGCACGCGGTTGGGATCAAGCTGTCATTTGGCAAGATTGCAGTGAAGCAGGGTGGCGTTGGGGTGATTGCCCGAGAGGACGGGGGGATACGCATGGAGCGCGGGGAAAAAAAAAACCACAAGCCAAGTCGAACGGTGATGCTCTTACTTCAAAGTAGCCAATGAGGCTGGTAATCTGCTTGAGAATGGTGGGGGTGGGTTGCGTCAAAGACGTCTCGTTGCCCTGGACAGCAACATGGCAGTCAGGGCTCGGCGGATGTGTTGTACGAGAGCCGTGAATGGTCGGGAACGCACCAAGAGCTCGACGAGTTTGGCAAAGCCTTCATTTTCTTCGTGCAGAAGGTTGTACTTTTGCTGCTTGTAGAAGCGAGTGGTACGCATGCGGACCAAAATTTTGCGATAGTCACGAACAAGCTTGGCGTCCTGCGCGCGTGCGTACATCAGTTGACCAATTTGTGAGAGGCAAAGATGAGCAGGAAGGTCGCATGTGTGGGAGGATGGCGGCTGGGACCGGACCTCGAGGGTAGGGGCCTCCAGTCGCTCGTAGAGCAGTTCACGTTGCTGATCAGAAAGGGCGGCCACGGCGGTCAACAATTTGTAGAAGCGAGCGCGCGGATCGCCTGCGTGCGTGCAGGTGCGCGGCGTGTTAGTGGAGAGCGGCAGTGGCCGCTGACACCAGAGGGCGGCATGGGGTTTGAAAAGGGACTGCAGTTGTTCTGTGTCGCACCTTTGGCAGCTTCATGATCAAGAGCATGCAAGGTATCGGCGAGGACCACGGCAAAGTGCTGACGGGAAAGGTGGGTGAACATGCAACATGAGCTGCGATTGGCATGAAAGGCTGTGCTGTAGCGGTGGCTTGGCCCGACCGACCTCATCATGCTCAAACTGAAGGCAACTCAGCGCCGCAGGCTGCGCAATAGTGCCACGGACAACGGCAGCCAAGAGGCGGCGCAGGTTCAGAACCAAGCCAACATCATCTTGCTGGTCGGCAAACGTACGGAGCGCCTCTAGGCTACAAGGTGGGCAGGAAGACAGGCAGAACGCCAAAGGGGCATGTGAGCGACATCATGAGGGCAGGAGGGCAGCTCTGCACTGTGAGGCAGGAGCAAGGGGGGCTGCGCTGCTTGCTGGGTTCGTACATTTGCTGCACAGCGCTTGGCTCCGGTAACTGGGCCAGCAGCGCCTCGTCCACAACAAGCGCGGGTGCCATCGTCGGCTATTCAAGGCGATCAAAGCGGTGCGAGACGAATCGTCTCGAGTCTGCCCAAGCCGAATGCTTTTGCATTCAATGACCAAGGCCCTCCCTCTGCGGTGTGCGCTTTGGGTGCAGCTTCGATCTGTGCCGAACCAAGACCAAGAACCCCAATACCACCACGCTCACCGACAAACTACCACTGCCAGCTCGCCCGTCGTCCTGTCGACCTCGCTCACGCAGGTCTCTCGTCCTGAAAACGACAACTGGGTTTTCCGACATGTGTTTTCAACAGTCTTGCTCTAGCCATACCCGTCACACTAACGGACGAGATTTTAGAGCGAGAGGCAGAGAGATTTAGAGAGATTTAGAGAGAGAGAGAGAGTTAGGAAGAGAGAGAGAGAGAGAAAGAGAGAGAGAGTTAAACAGAGGAATAGCACAACAGAGAGTGAGATTGTAAATTTTGTAAGTAAATGAGAAAGAGTAGAACATGAGCAAAAGCATGTGACCTGTCTCTCAATATCATCCGGCAAATCCGGTGTCTGCGTGAATGCCCTGCCCTTGACTCTGGCATCCTAAGTCATCAACCTGAGGCATATTCATATCTCTTTCTACAAACTCATATCTCTCTCGTCAAATTCATCTCTCTCTCGGCAAATTCATATCTCGCTCGGTGAGACTTGCGTGTTTCCTTGCCGAGTTTGTGAGTGACTTTGGCCATGGTCGGTCATCAATTAACAAATCGCAGTCGAAAGCATCACATTGTTTTCATGTGGATCAATGCTGGCCCACAACCAAACGGTTCATGGTTGAGCAGGGCACGCACGTCACACATCCAGCCACAGTCCAGCCCCCAAACCCAGACACCAAACCTCGACACCCTTTGATAGTTACGCACTGGCGGTGTCCTCTTGGACCGGAGTGAGATGACGACGTGTTTGCTGAGAATCAGAAAGCAGAGGGTTTGAGCGGCGTGACCGAGGTGTGGGGCGCGCTGGACCACCCGCCGTGTCGCGCGGGGGGCTACCCGATGCCTTGGTGACCATATTCACCCCTTGACGGCCAGTGCAGGCCTTGCACAGCTCGATGGCTTCGTCCAACTTGACCGCCTCCAACGCCTCGACCAGCTTCTTACGGGCGTCGTTGTCCTCCAGCATCTCTTCCGCCACGCGAGCCAATGCATAGCCGTCGTGCAACTTTTGTAGTTTGAAATTTGGCCTGGCATTTGGATGGCGGTACATCTCAAGGTCGTCATAGCAGTTGAAGCTGGGTGCATACGTTGCGTTTTCGTGAAGAAAACCACCCAGGTCAAAATCAATCAGGAAAGCCATCGGCTGTTTGGCTGTCGCCTTCTCAGTTTGCACAGCTTCTTTCACTGAGGCTGCTTCCGCGGAGGACACTCGACTCTTCGGAGATGCGCCAGACCGAGCACCGGAGCTGTGCTGCCCCTCCTCCCAGCTGGGCGACTGAAACATCCAATCCTCCGGTTGCCAGTTGTCACAAAAGAGAATGTTGCGAGACAAGATGTCGCCGTGCACAAAGCCAATGTTGTGCAACGCTTGCACCTGCGCAGTGACATCGCTCAGCTGGAGCGGCGCATGAAGGCCACATGGGGCTGTCTCTACCCGTGGATAACGGAGAAGCACCACCTCGGTCGCAAGCTTCTTCACCACCCACGCCCGGTAAAACTCGCCCGTCTTTGGCAACTGTTCAAGTGCTTTGAGCAGCTCGAGTGATGGTGGTAGGCGAGCATCACGGGAAGCAATCTGGTACGCCTTTGTACCAAAAGCCTCAGCATGGCGGCCCCAATAGTCGTAGTGCTTGATGACCCACGACCCGCCACTGACATGCTCGTACTGCTGCACATTGGGCCCGTACGTTTCGTTGCAGGTCCACCCTACCATGTCCGGAGCCGGGCAGGGAAAGGGCTCGGAGGCAAATTGAGTTTTTTTGGTATCACGGTACTCCTTGATAATAGCCCGCAAGGGACCTGACACAAAATCATTGCAAGCTGACAAAAGCGCCCAGACAGCCTGTTGGTCCTTGGGGTTGCTGGAAATTCGGGCGGATCCAAGCCGGAGAAAAGCCAGGTGGTAGTCCTTCTTGAGGCCCGTCATTTTTTCAACCAGAGCAACCGTCTTCTGGCGGGTCAAGTGCAGGACCAAATAAGCGGTCAGAATGTTGCCACACACATTGATGTTGATGAGCGGATAGAACAGGTGTTGCCTCTCCTGTGTAATGTGATTTGTCGTCGGCTGGATGCCAAGGCGCACAACCTGGTTGCCCACTTGGCCACCAAAGTTGCCAAAGTGCTTGAAATTCCTTTTGCACTCGCCCATGACGACTGGGTGCAGGTCGGAGTCGAAACCTATCCAGTCAGCGTGCATGCTGTTGGCTCCAACTGATGCCTGGTGCGTCAAGCGCACAAAATCAAAGAAACTGTGTAGAGCCAGTGATATCCGCGTCGAATAGTACGGTTCGTGCTGCAGGTCATTGTGCACCTGGCTGAACTCTTGGTATGCGGCTGTAAACTCAGTATGGATGCCTTTTTCAGGCAGTTGATCATGAGCAGACAACAGCTTGGCAGCTCGCTGGACGATCCCAAGGGCCAGGTAATGACAGCTCGGAGGCAACTCCACGATACCAAAGACGGCCGCCGCATTGTCGTTGATGTCACTAATTTTTGGGGTCTGTGAAGGTGACTTGCTAGGTAAATAGGCTTCCGCGTTCGAAGATGACGCCTTTTTAGTTCCAAGTGTGCCCTAAAGTCCAAGCCAAGAACAAAAACAAACACACCACAATCAAAGCATTGACAGTCCCAGGGCACCGTGGTGAGCTTGCGCGTCGGGCGTCGGGTTGGTGCAAAAAAGCATGCGGGTGACGAAACGGCTGTCGACTTTCAAGCCCAGGCGAAACGTTACCGGAAATCGGCAAAATGTTCTCGAGCAGAGCACAAGAGACTTTGTGGTGCTGGCATCGAGCGTACATCAGGGAGAGCTTCTCCGCTGACATGCTGGCTACATGCTCAAAAAGGTTAGAGTTCTGAGGCAACTCGAAATGATCCTCAAGGTACTCATACTGACGAGTACACAGACAAGAGGTGGGAATAAGCTTTGATTCATCCTTCGTCTCAGACATTTGCATTGTTGCACAGCACAGCATATAGAGGGGTCGCGAGATGCCCCAATCAACCAACCGCTTTGATTCGCTTGTCTTGCTCTTCACGCTCGCGCTCTGCTTTTCGCTCCGCTGCTTGTCGCTCCGCTGCTTGTCGCTCCGCTGCTTGTCGCTCCGCTGCTTGTCGCTCCGCTGCTTGTCGCTCCTCCCGCTCGCGCTCTGCTTGCTGCTCCTCCCGCTCGTTCCAAGTGTGCCCTAAAGTCCAAGCCAAGAACAAAAACAAACACACCACAATCAAAGCATTGACAGTCCCAGGGCACCGTGGTGAGCTTGCGCGTCGGGCGTCGGGTTGGTGCAAAAAAGCATGCGGGTGACGAAACGGCTGTCGACTTTCAAGCCCAGGCGAAACGTTACCGGAAATCGGCAAAATGTTCTCGAGCAGAGCACAAGAGACTTTGTGGTGCTGGCATCGAGCGTACATCAGGGAGAGCTTCTCCGCTGACATGCTGGCTACATGCTCAAAAAGGTTAGAGTTCTGAGGCAACTCGAAATGATCCTCAAGGTACTCATACTGACGAGCACACAGACAAGAGGTGGGAATAAGCTTTGATTCATCCTTCGTCTCAGACATTTGCATTGTTGCACAGCACAGCATATAGAGGGGTCGCGAGATGCCCCAATCAACCAACCGCTTTGATTCGCTTGTCTTGCTCCTCACGCTCGCGCTCTGCTTGTCGCTCCTCCCGCTCACGCTCGCGCTCTGCTTGTCGCTCCTCCCGCTCACGCTCGCGCTCTGCTTGTCGCTCCTCCCGCTCACGCTCGCGCTCTGCTTTTCGCTCCGCTGCTTGTCGCTCATGAAGACGATCCAGCTGCAACGTGATCGATTCAGGACTCAGATTCAAGCCTTTGAGCTGCTTCACAAGTTCCAAGGCCTGATCCTGAGCCATGCTGACGGGTCTCGCGTTCAGACAACATGCTGAGAGAGCCACCGGGCCAAAAAGTACAACAAGAAAAAAGAAAGAAGAAAGAAAGAAAGAAAGAAAGAAAGAAAGAAAGAAAGAAAGAAAGAAAGAAAGAAAGAAAGAAAGAAAGAAAGAAAGAAAGAAAAAAAAAAAAAAAAAAAAAAAAGGAGAGGGAGAAGGAAAAAAGTAAGAAAAAAAATGCAATTGACACGCTTGAAGAAGAATGATGGCATCGAGTCTGAAAAGCTTCATCATCTAAAAATACACATTTTGGCCCGGTTTTTGGCGTGCGCTGCCGAACGGCTCGAAACGGTTTTTCTTGAGCGCATTGTTTCCTTGCACGTGACCAAGCTCATCCAGCTCCGACACGTGCCATCGTCGCTCGAGCAGACCACATCAATTACATTACTGTACATGCGTATGTCAAAAGGGCAAACTAATGCGCTCCGTGACCAACGATGATCATGATCATTGCAAGTGGGGAGCAAGGTGAAGCTGGCAGCCGATAGATGCGGGCTGATAAAAAGCAAGCACACGCGTGCACACAAAACTGGTCCAAATTAACCAAACCCCTTAGCCCAGATGCATAATCACATGAACGGGGGGCGTGGGGCATATGAATCTGTTTGATATGCTTGATATGGGGAGCATGCCAAGACGTAAACCCAGTCCAGACACGCATTCATACAGGATCGAACAAGAATCGCATGCCGAAGCGATCGCCCATTCACGCTATCTTATTCTACCACTGCCATTCAGATACCATTGCATCAGGCCCATCGCTCCACGTTGTCATAGAGGAGCTGTTGTCCCTCGCGCAACGCGGCGACGAGCTCTAGGACACCATCGTCGTCCAGGTCCGCGGCCATGACAGCTTGCACGCCATCGGCAGCTGCGTCAATCACAACTTTGGTAAAGGTGCCAGTACACAGGTTGCGGTACCAGGAGAGCTGGTCGCCATCGGTGCTGGCCGCCCCAAGAAATCCAAATCGCCATCATTGTTCACATCCAAAGCGGGCATAGCATTGGTCCCAAAGGCCGCGGTCGGGATACGAAGGTGCCTTGGCTCAGGTTGCGGTACCATAAAATATAACGCCTGTAGGCACAACTTACGACAATGTCAGGCAGGCTTTTCCCGCGCCTGGGCCAGACTTTGACCAGGGGCGAGGCAAAAGCAATCCTCGCAGGTCGCGTCAAAACCAGCAGGTCAAGCCCTCAAGGCAAGCGCAATGAGAGGCACCGTATGGCATATGGCATAGCCACACACAGATAGAGCATTGTCGGGGCACGGCTTGGCCAGTGCTCGCGGCCCAAATTGGGCAGATCAGCATCAAAGCCAACGTTTGAGCCATTGCGCTTTGACAAGACGAACAAGCCCGCCATCTTGGCAAGCCAGCACGGTCGGTATCTTTCAGAGCCTTGGTGATTTGAACGACCAGCGCAAAGTTGCGTCTTTCGGTGGCACTGCACCTGACGGCCACCGCGCACCGTGTCAGCAATAAGTCGCTCTCTGCCCCACCGCGCTCAGTGTGTGTGTGTGTGTGTGTGTGTGTGTGTGTGTGTGTGTGTGTGTGTGATTCGCATGCATGCACACATCCGACGAGCGCAATGAGACATTTCAAGAAACCTGTAAGTATTTTACTTTGAGCACATGTTTGCGACTTTTTCCTTTGTCTTGTCCGCAGTACTAGGGAGAGAGCGTGAGAAAGCGAGAGATCAGAAGACAGGTCGTCGGGATTGCAAGGCCGCGATTGGCGTTTTGTGTGGATAGGGTGCGCTCGATGCAAAACGCCTTTGGTTGCTGCAAGAGACACCACCGCGTGAGGAAGCGGGAGGGGGAGAAAGGGAGAGGAGGGTCAAAAACAAAAGTCAAAGATGGTCAAGATGCGAGTCTTCTGGTGATCATGCCTCGTGAAGAGAAGCGAAGAGCACACACACCCTTGCCCTCTTATCCTCTTACCGCTGTGTGCTTCCTATCGCTGATGACGAAAAAGCTGAATCAACAAACAAAATATCACACATGCACACACACACACACACTCTCTCTCTCTCTCTCTCACGCACACACACACGCGAATTGTCATCATCATCTCGACACACACACACGCACACACACACACACACACTCTCTCTCTCTCTCTGTCTCTCTGTCTCTCGCTCTCTCTCTCTCTCTCTCTCTCGTGCACCTCTCTCTGGCTCTGTGGCTCTCTGTCTCTCTGTCTCTCTGTGGCTGTACCTGTGGGTGTGCCAGTGGTAGAGCTGGGTAGGGAGGGCGGGGTGTCTGCTGCATCTGCTACATATTATACGTCCTGTGCAGCTATCGGTGGTGTTCAGGGCGGTCACTGGCTTGAGAAGCTACAAGAGCTCCAGTGCTCGCAGGAGCTGTTGTCCAAGAACGCTCCCCCCCCTTGCCTCGTGATCCGAGGTTTGAAGCGTGACTCGGTGCCTCCTCCTCCTCCTCCTTCCTCCTTCTCCTGCGTCGCCTTGGGGGATACATCGGCAAGGTGAGACCCGCCAAGGCGTCGCTCTTGCCGTGACGGTGCCCCCTACGCTGGTGGAGGGCTGAGACGTCAAGGCTTGGCACGTCCATGCCACGAGTGTCCCCTTTTCCCACGCTCGCATCCCCCCTCGCTTCCACCTCGCTTCCACCTGACCTCAGTCCACTGGCCTTGTCTGGCACTGTGGCACGCGGTGCCAGCTTTCATCACTAATGTCCCATTGTGCCTCTGCCTGCTTGTTCCAACCCCCATCCTTCCCTCCGGCCGACAGCCAGAGGCACCACAACGACCATCGCAGCGCCACACCGCCATTTTTTCTCTTCTTTTGGGAGTGGGATCGCAGTTGCCGCGCTCATCTCCAGGTATCCAACTCTGCGCCAATTGCACTTGACCCTCCCACATGGCTCAAAACAAGCGAGAGCGGCAGATGCGACTTAGTCAGAACACAAGGCGTGCAGAGAGGGGCGCAAGACTCTCCTCATCCTTGCTCTTCCCTCTGTGCTCACCTTGCCCGGTAGACCTTGGCTGGGGGTTAAATCCACCATCATGCGCCCGGTCCAGGGCTCGCTGGCAGCGGCGCAGAACGCCATGCCATCCATGCCGCGCTCACTTTTGACACTGCTGCTGGGGCTGGGGCTGGGGCTGGCACTCCTACCTACAACCTTGGCCCAAGACTCGACCGAGCAACTCAGCGATGCCTTTCCTTCCGAAGGACCCGCCGGTCAAGACGTCATCCTCTTTGTCTTTTTCGGCCTCATCCTGGGTATTCTGGCTCGCGCCTGTCAGCCGTACCTCCCCTTGCCCTACACTGTCATGTACGCCCTGCGTCCAGCCTGCGCTGGCCTCGTTGGCACATCTATCCCTGCAAGGTCTCGCGCCCGCTCACGCCTCGTCCCCAACCCAACGGCTCTGCTATGCTATGCCAGCTTGCTCCTGGTGGGCATGGCCTTTGCAGCTCTTGACACCTTGGGCTTGGGCAAACTCGAGGATGCCTCAAACCTTGTCTCGGCCATTGAGCCCGAGCTTTTGCTCATCATCTTCCTGCCCATGCTCATCTTTGAATCGGCTTTCAACCTTGAATGGTTCACTTTTAAGCAAGTCAGTGAGGACCCGGCTCATCCGACCGTACCCAGATTCTTCGTCCCCAGACCGCTCCGCCCTCTTCTCATGTCCAAGCCTCTCACCACTTGACCGTGTCAAAATCCCACGTACAAATGAGTACAGGTCATCTGGCCAGCCCTGGTCCTTGCAGTACCTGGCCTGCTCATTTGCATTGCGTTGACGGCTGTCGTCATTCACGCCATTGTCCTGCCGTCCTTTTCGTGGGAGGAGGCGTTTCTCCTCGCCACCTTGCTCAGCGCGACAGATCCCGTCGCCGTGGTCGCGCTGCTGCGCGAACTGGGTGGCCCGATCCAACTCGCCACCCTCATCGAGTCAGAGTCTCTGCTGAATGATGGCACGGCCATCGTCGCTTACAAGGTCTTCCTGCAGCTGGCCCGAGGTGAACATCTCTCGGCGGGCGACATTGTGGCCCAAGGCGCCCAGCTCTCTCTTGGTGGACCGGCGCTCGGTCTTTTGTGGGGCTTTGTTACCGTCTCGTGGATGCGGCACGTCCTTGACGACGAGCTGATCGAGGTCACTCTGACATTTGCCTCTGCATACCTTCTCTTCTACATTGCCGAAGACGTTGTTCAAGTCTCAGGTCTGTTCCTATCTGTTCCTATCTGTTTTGGCTTTCCAGCCCTTGGAATGCCGGCCAAGACTCTGGACAACCTTGTCAATTGCAGCCTGCTCGCTCTTTGTCATCACCTCTCCTGACTCACGGCACGGACACGCTTGTCACCACAAACCACAAACTGCGACCACGACGACTTGGCAATGCAGGCGTGCTGGCTCTCGTGGTCCTAGGTGTCTGCTTTGCTTCCTTTGGTCGAGCTAGCATTAGCCCCAACTCAGAATCGGCCACACATGCTTGGTGGAGCCTGCTTACCTACCACGGCAATACAATCATTTTTCTCCTCGTGGTGTGTCAGCTGTGTCATTCTCCCCGAAGAAGAGCACCCGCTTCGCTTCCAGCGCATGCAGACAAGATCGTCCCTCGTTCTCATCAAGGGCTTGTCGTCAGGGCGTGGTCTTGGTTTTGAATGTAGACTTTGAAAATATCGAAGGCCGTGACTACGGCTACCTCTTTGTCCTCTGGATCTTCCTCTACATCATTCGACTGGCCATGTTGCTCATGTGCACGCCATTCCTCATCATGACGGGCTACAAGAGCATCTCCTGGCGCGAAGTGCTCATCACCTCACATGGTGGCTTGCGTGGTGCCGTCTCCCTTGCGCTGGGCCTTGCCGTCTCCCTGGATGAAGCCGAGGGAGAGCTTGGCTTGAGCGACACGGTTCGGGAGAAAACCTTGTTTTACGCCGGTGCGTCTAGCCAGGGTTGGAAACGCGAGATGGGTTTCCAAGCTCGTTCCAACGCTCTGTTGCATGGAATCTTCTCAACGCTTGAGCTCACTGTGTCGCGTTCATTGGGTGCAGGTGGTATTGCCGTTCTCACCCTGCTCATCAACGCGACAACAACACCCGTTCTTATCAATTGGCTCAAGCTGACCGAGGAGCCGGCGGGCCAGCGGCACGTCTTTGACAAGGCCACGGAAACACTGGCAAACTACACCGCCAGCTCTGCCGATCTGCTCAGCCGCGATAAGCTCTTTTCGATGTGCAATTGGGATGAGGTTCGATTCATCGGTTGCTCTCCTTCCTTCCCATCTCTCGTTCATGGCATGGGTCTAAAGCGACAGAGACCAAAGAGTCAGAACCGTTCTCATTTCCTAGGCTCACAAGGCGACGACTTTTGTGCCCCTCCCGCCCGTGTGTGCAGGTGCTGAAGTTTGTCATGCCTGATGTCAAGTCTTCACGCAAATTCTTTGATCCTGTTCGTCTCTTGTTCTGGGTTTAAAACAGATGTCATCTTGCTCTGCCCCCCTGGCCCCCACGTTGCTTGCCACGTGCAGCCTTCTCCCACCTCGAGTGCCTTTGTTTGTACTTGTCTTCGCGGTGGCCGAACAGATTTCTCATTTCTCATTTGCAATTTGCTATTGACCTCTGATAGGATGCAGCCTTTGAAGAAATGGACCCGGATAAAGTCATGTCCCTCCGTCGGGCCGACTATGTGAGTCACCGCTTTCCCCTGCTCTGAACCCCGCTCGGAGCATTGCCTTTTCAGTATCAGTTTGCGGCCTGTTCCGGGCGAGCATCCCCAAAAAATGGACTCACAGCCTCGCTGCGCAGAATGAAACGCCAACGTCGGCTGCCATTCACGAATTGGATGACCCGGAAGAGGAGCTGCCCAAAGAAGCACCGCGTCTGGACGCAAACGGGTCGCAAATGTCTGCATCCATGTCCTCTGCTGGCCAAGAGCAGGACGCAGACACACCGCCACGACCCGCTTCCACAGCGGCCCAGCGTCACCGCTTAACCCGTGAACTTGAGCTGACGCTGGAGGACACAGACGCCGACCACACCCATGTCCCCAGCCAAGCAACTCCATCTCAAGGCACCAACGGTAAGCCGCAAGAGTGGTTGGGTCCGGGCCCGGGTTTGACTGAGGTCTACGCTTTGTTTGCTTGGTTGCCAAGTCCCTCGTTTCACGTTGATCACTGCATGTTTGCCCCTGTACCCGGTTAGCTGGGAACACATCGACCCACAGTTTACCCAACATGTCCCGTCATCACGCTCACCTTGAGCGAATGCCTACTATCGAGGATGCCAGCGAAGCCAGCACCAGTGGGGCTCCCACGTTGAGGAATGCTAGTCAATCTGACACGGCTGTTGAAGTCACATCTTCACCATCGCTCGCACCCAACGCCACGACGAATACCAATCCCGAGCAAGCGCCAGTACAGTCAGACAAGCCATCAGTGGTAGCAGAGGCATCGACCCCAAGCGCCGCAAGCGCATCGAACACGCATCGCGGCTTGGCTGTGCGCCGCTCGCAGAGCGAGGCCGCTTCAAGCAGCGATCTTGGTCTTGAGCTTGCCGTCCACCGTGTGGCAAGCATGACCTCGATCAAATCGCAGGGCAGCGACCACGGTAGCATGCAAGCGGGAATGAAGCCCATTCGGCCTCGTCGCGGAAGCGCATCGGCCAGGTTTGAGGTCAACGAGGCACTCACCAATATTCCCGAGTCGGACAGTAGTGTCGATAGCGCACATTCTCCGACAATGCCTTCCGCCCAAGGTGCAGGGGTGATTGGCAACGGCCACACACCCAACCGTTCAGGCAAGAACGCGCGCCTGCGCCATCGACATCACAATCACCAGCACGGGAAAAAGGGCCATCACCACCACCATGAACACCATCAGCTACGCAACTTCTTTGGTACGTGAGGTTTGGCCCGACATTGGACCACTTTAGCAAGCGCGCTGGCTTTGCTCATATGAGGTTTTTCTGCTGTTAAAAAAAAACCCCTTTTTTTTTTTTTTTTCATCTTTGTTTTTTCTTATGATTATTTTTTCAGGCCGTGAGCACTTGCAGGTCAGCTTTGAAACGGAGCATCTGCAGACGGCCCGCCTCCTCTTTTTGGAATCATGCAAGGTCAGTCACGGCTCAGCCAGCTGAGGGCGAGCTAGGCACTGGCCGTTGCAACTTGGGATCCTGCTTGCCGCCTGCTCAATGTGTCGGTGGTGCGCTTAGTCTATATACTGGGAGTTTTTCGAGGCTGGCTTTTTGGACCGAAACAACGTGGCACTGCTGATGCAAGCCACTGAAGCTGCCGAGGAGCGAATCAAGAGCAATCCACGCCAAGTCTTGTGTGACTGGTCAGACGAGCTGCAGAGCTTTGTCGCCGTTCCTGCCTACATTTGCTGGATCGACAACCTCAGCTTGCCAGGGCGAGCCGGCCATTGGTGTCGTCGCTTCTCGCACTGGCTGGTTTCACAGCATGCAAGCCAAACGGCCAACGTCATTGATGTCTACCTTGCCGCTCACCGCAAAGTAGGCACTGCTGCTTGAATGGCGCCCGCTGAGCATGCGCGTCACGCAATTTGCCCGTTGGCAACATGATGTCTTTGCTTTGACTGACAGCATGTCCGACCGGTAGGCAAATGGAGATTTGCATGGCATTTTGAACGACGTGCTGGACACGGCGGCGCAACGGGACATGCTGGCAGCCGAGTCTGCAACCAACACGACCAAAGCCCGAAGCCATTTGCGCATGCTCAATCAAAACGCCATTTCATCAGCTCGTTCCCGGACCGCAGCGTCCCTCCTGGTGACGCACCAGGAGCATTGGATTCAGGAGAAGTTCAAACGGGGCGTGCTCACCTCGCGAGAGCGCAAGCACCTGCTCAAAGCCATTCGCAAGAAGCGCTCAAAGCTTTTGCAGCACTCTGTCTGCTTTCCCTATCCATCGCCCGAGGGTATCCTGCGCTGGTCTCGCCTTTTTCAAGGCGCTTCCCCGGAATGCATGCGCGAATTCTTAGAGGTGTGTGAGTCCATCGAGCTCAAAGATGGCCAGACGCTCATTCAGCACGGCAAACCCGTGGAGTGCATCTATGTCATTGTGCGCGGCTATGCCCGCATGGTCATCAGCTCTGAACAGGTATGCCGACGCAGCCGAGTAGTTGGTCTTTGATCCTGTCTGTTGACGTGGGTGTCTATGTTGCTTCGAGTGCTGCGCCGCCGTGATTCACCGCACTTGGTCTGCCTGTGCAGGTCGATCACTTGGGCCCGGGCCGTGTTGTGGGGGCCATCGAGGCGATATCTGGTGCCGACGGCTGCGTCATGGTGCAGGCCATGGGCAAGAGTGACCTGCATGTTTTGAGCCTGCGCATGACTGTCTTTATTGATTTGATCAACAAATGGACCAAGATCAAGGAGAATCTTTTTGAGATTGCGGCTTTCCATCTGGCGTACAAGAATCGTCAGGAGCTTTTTCAAGAGCTGGCCTACGTGGTCCCGGCAGCGGAAAACATTGCCAAGGCGCCCATGGCTGTGCAAGAAAACATTTGGCCCTTTATCAAGGCCGGACAACCCGCCTACTTTGAAGCCGGGGATGAACTACGGGTACGTGGCCTGCCACATCCTCCCCGCTTGCCATGCTATTTATAGAAGTCTAGTCTTTGGGGCAAGAATCAGCTGTGTGCTCACATGGTGTCTGGCGGTGGCCTGTATTATAGTTGGAGACGGCTGGCTTGATGTTGCGAGGGAGACTGGTTCTGTTGCGGCCGTTTCACCGGAAGGAAAACAAGGAGCGACGTCAGCGCTACGTTTCTACGCCAGGCTCCATCAGCGGCAGCCCATCACTGGCTTCGAGCCTTAGCGCGGATCACACACGCTTCACCCCAGCGGAAATTTCACTGTCTGCCCTGGATGAAGGCCAGCATCGTTTGGCCGAGCAGCTTGGTACGTGCATGCCATGTCTACTGAAATGTCTTGCGTTTTTTTTTTTTGTTTTGTCTTTTTCTTTCTTGCACGACATTAGCGCCGCCAGCTGCAGCTTGGACTCCTGATGTTGTGGTGACTGGTCTGTGCCGATTTGTTTTACAGAGCAAGTCTTCAGCACAGGTCCACAGCTTCATGAAGATTACAGCCAAGAGATGCAGGGGCGAGCCTTGCAAAGGTATGGCGCTACTACTCGGGCATGGTACTTCGCACCTCCTGTTTGGCATGTCCACGAAGCCTTTGCAGCGTATTGCAGGCCCCGGCCCGGTCTCATGGCGTCGGCTTTGTGCGTATGACATGGAATTCACAGGAACACGTCCGCCCCCGTGCAAATGGACCGGGTTGGCTCGTTGCAGACCATGTCGGCGTCGCTGTTGATTGGTCCTCACGAGGTGGTGCCAGCGGGCATTTACCGCGTACTGCCCACCGACGCCCCACCCGCGGCCCTCATATTTGTGCTGGGTCCTGTGGCCGTCAAGGTGAGTGCGAGACTGGAACAATGCAGTGAGATGTTCCTGGCGGTTGTGTGGATCGCGGCTTGAATCCTCATTGGTCTTTTTTGCTTTTTATCCTTTCTTTAGAAGCGGGACGAGTCAGACTGGATTACCCGCGGGGCCGAGAATGACTTGGACGAGGTTGACTTGCCAGCCCCCTTAATTGACGACTTTGGTGCCGTCTCTGCCACGCCACCGTCGCTAAGCCGAACAGCGAGCCAGATTCGACTGGGTGGCAGCTTTGGTCCACGCCGCAACCCTTCCTTTGTGGACCTGACCGGGCCTCGATCTCATGGCTCGCACCTCGAGCTGATTGCTGAGGACACTTCACCCGTGAGCGCGGCCCAGACGAGCCACGTCGAGGCCGATACGGAAGACAGCGAGACCGACAATGTTGATGACGAAGGTGGCCTCGTCTTGGGCCCCCGCACAGGCACCCGCGTCACTGACTCAAACTCTTCAGACAGCCGGATCAACATTTCGGTTTCAGAGGTTTAGGATTGTGTTTCAAATAATTTTATTCCCCCCTTTTTCCCTTTTTCTCTCAATCTTACATTCACAGTCGCTCTCTCCTATCGGAGCAAGACGCGTCATCTCCTCACCCCTGCTGCCCGCCAGCTGAGAAACACTCCGAGGACCACCGTAGGCCAGCCAGTCGAGGGTATCGCTATTCACATGTGACATGCGTCCCGCGTCGCCAGACAACCACGAAGAACGGAAGCAGAAGTGCTGACAATTTTCTGGCTTTCAACCCTGACTGACGGGAGGATGCGTGCAAGCAAGCACGATTCATGGTCGTTGGTGCATAGTCGCGGACACGCTTGAGCCCCGGTTGGAATGTCGCAGTGGGTGTCCGCCACGGCCTTGGCTGCTTCGAGCAATGCTGCTGACCACATCCAGTCAGACCAATCCACCACCACAGCCAGAGTTGGGGAGAAAAGAAAAAGAAAAGAGAGGCTGCGTGACCGATGACACCGCTCGTGTGCCAGTTCGCTCGCCTCCGTGCACCAAAAAAACATAGATAGAGCACAAGTCATTCGTCACAGCGCTCAGCGTCTCGGCTCGGCCCGGCCTTATCTGCGCAGCGATCGCCTGCTCGTCCGCCAACCCTCAAGGCGGCGACCTTTGATCAAAGTTGCATTGTGTTTCAAAGCAGAGCGTGCAGCCCAAGCAGAATTTTGTCGGCAGCGTCACCGCCGCACGCTAGAACACTTCCCGAGCCTCGCGTACGTCTGCCTGCATCTTGAATCGCTCTGCCCGACTCGGCGACATTTGCTGCTTGTGAAACAACCGTACGCGGCTCAAGGAAAGTATCAACCATGGGTCAACATGAAAACTCATCTGTTGGCGACCATTGCATTCCATCCCATCCCATGCAGGTGTTGTCGTGCGCTTGGGCTGAGTGATCCTTGAACGCTCGCCCTTGGTCTCGGTTGCACCAGCATCAAGACTGCAGGTTTGGGTTAAGGCGAGGGGTTCCTCGCCGCAACGTCAGTCTCAATGACGACGGCGCTCAACGCCATGCAAACCTCCCACACCCTGGAGCGTGCCAACCGCGGCTCATCGCAGACTGATTTGTCGACGTCTGAGAGCATCGTCGATACCTACCATGGCGCTCTCTACAGCTGGTGCGTGTCATGAGTTGATACCTCTCGCCATTTCTGGGGCCCTGGTGCATGCCAAGCCAAAGAGTGGTTTAGGTCTCGCTGAACGTCCCCACTCTTGCGTGCTCACAAAGTCCTTTGAACCCTCCCCTTACTTCTGACCTGAAACCCTTTAGCATGCAAGGGGATCCCGAGGGCTGGCGTACACTGACGGATGGGTACATTGGTCTGCGCGTCGTTCACGATCGAGCCTCGATTGAGCATCCCTTCCGCATCGTCTCCACGGGCAAAGGACGCGAGGTAAGCCGAGCGTGGTGTGGGATTACAGTCGGTCGAGAACGGCATTCTTGTGTACCACCGACCCCCCATGACCCAAAAGCTATCTCTTTTCCTTGGGGATGTATCAACTCATGGGCCAAACGTTGTGGTGCAGCTCAACCTGAAGATCACAGCGGAGACCCGCCTCAAGCGCACCAAAGATACCTTTATCCAATGGCATGCCAAAGGCTCTTGCCTATCCTACGGCGTACAGCTCGTGGCCAGTGCCGCCACAGACAAGGTGAGCATAAGCCCTCCTGCTCGGACCCAACACCGTGCTGCTGGCCCAGGCATTTGACTAACCGCTAGCCCTCGTGCCATGAGTAGCTGCTGCAACACTTGCAAGCTGGCGTTCAGTTGGCCAAAACGGCCGCCGAAGCCAAGCTACGAAATGCCGAGGCCCAGCACCGGCTCTCCCACCTGAACCGGACCGGTCAGACCACCGAGGCCTATCAATTTCTGACTGACATGTCCAAAAAGGAGGACAAGCAGAACAAAGTCCTGCTCAAGGTACAGTTTCGTCGCCCTTTTTTTGCTCCTCCATGCACCCATCCTCGCTCCTCTTGGCCTGTACTCCATAAACGGGGTTGCTGTTTGGTGCGTGGTGTGCAGATTCACTTTCCCGAGGCCGGCTCAACAATGACTCTGCACGATCCGTCTCAACGCCTGACGGATGTTATTGAGCACATTGCGCGAAAGCGCAAGCTCGATGCCCACACCATTGGCGTGCGGCTCACCGAAGCGGGCAACATTCTCAGCTCCACCGACCTCACCACCATGACCGTCGCTGACGTGACCAACAAGACCCTCCATCTGGTTCATCTCCTGGACGTGGTGGACACCAAACGCGACAAATCCACGGCCCTGGCCGTGCTCACACAAAACAACGCCGGCAAGCCGCGCCGTCGAAGCAGTACCACAGAGATGGTATTCTTCCAGGTGCACCTGCCCGATGGCGGCGAAACGGTTGTCTCCGTCCCAGAGATGATGTCGATGGGTGAACTGCTCTTTTACATTGCTGAGAAGCGCTCCCTCAGTGCAACCGACCTGGTCATGGCCGAGAATCCCAGCGGCCGCAAGCTAGTGCCGGTGGAAGGCGTTGTGCGCGACTGCAAGCGGCGCAAAATCTTTCTCGTCGAGGGAAAAATCACCCGCGCTCGCCGTGGCAGCATGTTTTCTGGGGCCTTCTCCAGCGTAAAGCGCGGAAACCGTCGCAACTCAAGTGCCACCCCTTCCACTGGGGTGGGACGAACACCCGTAAACCTGGAAGAGGAGCAGCGCCGGCGGCGCAAGCTGGAAATCTCCGAGCCCACCCTGCAGCGCGCTCCCTCCCAAACGTCGCTCAACGACGAACCCGAGGCCACTCGCCGCGATGTGCAGCGCCTCACATCTCTGCTTGCCGAGGGCGTCGCCCTGAGTGATGCGCGCATGCCCACCGGCTTTTGCGATTTGTGCCTCCGCACAAACTTGACCGAGGCCGTGCAGAACGATGTCGGCGTACGTAACTTTGTCCTCAATCAGATTGATCAGCACGGCGGGATTCGATCCCTGCTGCGCCGCAGCAACCCAGACTTGCGGTCCCTGTTTGGTGCTGCCGACAAGTTTAAGCGGACGCGAAGCGTGCGCTCAGCTGCGCCGGCCCCGCAGCCACCTTTGGGTGGGGCGCGTGGACGAGCCCCAGCCCCGCCTCTTCTCTTGGAGGTGGCCAGGGCAGCGGCCTCGCGGCATGGGGACGCCTCGCGCCGACGCGCCCCGGGACCACCCGGCCGCCAAAGCTCGAGCGACTCGCTACTGGCCAACAACTCGGACTTGACGGCCGTGACCGAATGTGACTCGGAGGAAGACGATTTGCCGGTGCGGACACCTCGTCGCTCCAACGAAACCATCTGGGACGAGACGGGTCCGCGGTCATCGCCCCATTCGCCAGCCCCCCAATATAGCCTGAGCCGCCAGAGCAGCTTGTGCTCCGTGGGGTCCCGTTCGGCCCTCAACTACTCTGATGGCAGCAAAATTATTCGTGGAGCCAGTGCCGCCGCCCTCATCAGCGAGGGCTCTGGTGTGCGCCGGGCTTTCCCGGCCGCCAGGACGCCTCCACCGCCAGCGCTACGGACCTCGCCCAGTCAGCCCCCGGTTTCTTCAGCGTCCCCTGTGTCAAGCCTCGCACCACCACAGCCTGGACCTAGCAGCCACGCGCCCGCTACTGCAACCCCGGCGCCGACACCCAGTGCCCCCCTACCCATGCCCTCGCTTGAAGGTATTGCTGCTGCTCGATCGGCGCTGAAAACCCGCGCCCGAACTCCACCTCCACCGCCAGCCCCCAAGCCCCCGCCACCTCGTGTGCTTGTGTTTCGCGAACTCGGCGATGGTCCCATGGACACGGATGTGGATGCGCTGGAAATCGAGGCACTGCCCCTGCCTCCATCAGCCATGACCTCGCGGCCCAGCTCTAGTGTCCAACCTGCGGACACGCCCGAGGGTCCAGTGGCGATGGTGCCGAGTCTGCATTCCGCCCCCTTGCCCACTGCCATGTCTGAAGATGCGTCTGCTAAGCGATTGCCCCCGCCGCCGGCGCCAAAGCCGGCCAGTCGCGCTGGCAGCGTGGTGGCCGTAACAGCAGCACCGCCGGCCGTGAGTGTCACATCTGTTCCTTCACCCGTCTCCGCAGGTGGCACCACAGGACCAAGTGACCCCTTCACAATGGAGATGGAAGTCCTGGACCCTTGTGTGTTTGCTTCCACTATGGATGCTGTTTTGGACTTGGAAATGGACCTTGGCTTGGGGGACATCACAGACGCCGACGTGCTGGCCATGCAGCCACCCGTCACACTGTCCACGGCCAACAGCGCAGCTTCTCTCCTCGATCGCGTGCCCAGCCCGCCATCTCTGCAGTCCGACTGTGCGCTGCCTCCACCACCGCCCAGCCTGGTAATGGATGCCTCGCCCGAGATTGTGGCTTCGGTCAATGCGCCAGCAGCCCCCATGCCACCACCGCCGCCCCCACCTTCCAGTGGTGATTTGGCGCTCGCGCCACCTCCTCCGCCTCCGCCACCTGCGCCTGTCCTGATGACCCAGGCAACCCGCGACAGCCACAGCGATTCGGACGATGATCTCGACTTTGTGCCGCCACCACCCCCACCTCTTGATGCACGTGAGCTACGCCCGCGCTTGTTTGGATCCCGCCAAGCGTCGTGTGAGCTGCTCGATGTACCGCCGCCCCCGCCGCTGGATGAGAATCTTTCCATGGTGGCGGAAACCTCGGTGGCCCAGGCGTCTGAGGCAAGTACGCCCAAACCAAACAATGGTGCACCAGCACCACCGCCTCCGCCCCCTCCACCGCCGTCTGGTGCCACTTTATTGGCGTCACCCACCTCAAGTTCAGCGCCGTCTTCCTTTGCGACACCACCGCCACGCTCCGGTACTGGGCCGATGAGTGTACCCCCATCGGCTGAACGAGGATCGCTGTTGGCTTCATTACGTGATCCCGGTAACAAATCCAGGTTGCGCAGTGTGCACGACAGCAGCGAGCCTTCTTCACCGGCAGCCGCCACTCCACACGCAGTGTTGATGGCTTCTATTGGTTCGGGCCAAGGCCAGAAGTCGCTCCGCCGGGTGCGGGCGACACCCACCTCGGCACGTTCGCCAGGCCAACGCAACTCCCTCACGACTGCCCTGGTCAATGCCATGGATGCACGGCGAGGGGCCATGTCGGATAGTGAAGATGGTAGGTACTTTGCGCGCTTGTGAGGTGACCGAAGTTTCAACCCCCTCTTGAGGAGCCTATCCGTTGACCCTTTGCTATGAGACGTTACCTCATCTTTTTTTTTTTCTTTCTTTCTCTTTTTTTTCTTCCTTGCCTCGTAGATGAACAATCGGACTCTGACTGGGAGGATTAGAATCCGAGGAGCCGGCCGAGTCAGTCTGGATGTCATTATTGTTTGCTGATCGTTGTGGTCATCATCTTAGCCCCTTCTTTTGAGAGTCGTTACACGCAAGATCATTGTGTCTCCCTTGCCCCTCATCGTCCTTCTTTCTTAATAATCGACATGATAATCCACTGGGCCAGGTTGTGAGCTGACGGGAGAATGTGAGCACTGTTAGATTTGTTGTAGCGAACAACGGTCGTATGTTCTCGGCGGTGGCGTTATGAGCCTTGGGTAGGGACTGTCGTTGGTGCGGGCGTGGTTTTTGCGGCAGAGCCAGCGGCGTGAGAGGCGACGGGGGCATCGTTGAGCACGAGCCATGCAATGACAATGTAGTAAAGCACAATGGGGTAAAGCACGAGCGCGCGGCGCTTGACGGGGCTTTGCCCAGACACAAATCCAAAAGAAGCTACGTGACAGAGCGGAGGAGCAAGTTTGGATGCCCCGTGAGCTGACAGAAAGTGATAGTAGGAAGAAGAGGGTGCGGCAAGAAGAGGGCGCGGCAGGCGCGATTGGTGACGAGAAGATGCGTACCGTAGATGGACCACGCGAGGGCCACGGCCACGACCAGCGTGCGCAAGGCGAGATGGGTGCTGATGGCGGAGATGAGCTTGAGGAGCAAGCATGCCGTGACCAGGGGTAAGATGCAATATCCTAAAACGCAGAGACCTTGAAAAAAGGTTCTGAAGATGTGGCCAGCCCAACGAAGCAAGAGGAATGAGAGGAGAGGTGCAAGTGTTCGGATAACGGGGAAGAGCTTGCGCCAGCATGTTTGGTGCGTACAGGGTACCGCCGAGAAGCTGATTGTTGACCGTGATTACGGTAGCTCCAACGCAAATGATGAAGAAAACGCCGGCAAAGACTTCAGACTGGAAGTCGGGACCGGCCGACGACCGCAGCATCAAAGCCAGCGTCATGGTCAGGATCATGGGACCCCACAAGTCCCAGTCCTACAAGCGTGGGGCCAGCATGAGGAGATGAGGAGGTACACGGCTGCCTGGGGCGGGCAAGATGCACGATCAAGTTGCTCAATGGCGCTGACTCATACATATCTCGAGGAGAATAGCACCGGCTGCGGTGCGGAGCAGCGGTGCAGCGGTGCAGGGGGGGAACGTACGTGTAAAAGGGCTTTGCTGCGATGCGGGACAAAGACGTAGTAAAACTTGCGACCGATAGCGACCAGGTCGCGTTTGAGCGTATCCCACACGGGCTCATCGAGCGTCATTTGAACCAGCTGCTGATCAGCCACCGCCTCCTGCATATGCCGCCGTCCCCAACGACGCGCCGACGAAAAAGGCGCAGCCAAAGCCTGTCAGCCTCAGCCAGCAATCACCCCTTGCTGCGTGCGACATGTCCACACGGTCCACGACGACAAATGCAGACCTACCTGGTCGATGGATCCAGCCAAATCATCAAAGTTGACATCATGCTCCACCGACGCAAACCCAATATCCCCCGACGCCATCGAGCTGCTCGCACTCCCCTCTCCCTCGTCCGGTGCCATCATCCTTCTCAAAATTAAAAAAACGAGAAAACGAGAAAAAATGCGCCAGAGACACAGAGAGAGAGAGAGAGTTTGAGAGAAAGTTTGAGAGAGAGAGAGAGAGTTTGAGAGAAAGTTTGAGAGAGAGAGAGAGAGTTTGAGAGAAAGTTAGAGAGAGAGAGAGAGAGCTTGAGAGAAAGTTTGAGAGAGAGAGAGAGAGACAATTGGTTTGAGAGACAGAGACAAGAGAGACAGAGACAGAAAGAGCGAGCGAGAGAGCGAGAGATGAAGATATGCCTCAAAAAAAATGGAAAAATTCAGAAGAAAAGGAGAGAATACATATAAGACGACGGCGGTCGGTATAAAGGGCATGTGAGATGGGATGAGAGGCAGCAACAAGAGTGCCATCATTCTAAGAATATGACTTTAGAAGTGGCGTGTGGGTGTGAGCGTCAAATCCGTCCTTCAACGCATTTGTGGGCGAGCGAAACGGCTAATGAAAAATGACTGAAGAGTATGAGTATGACTGAAGATATGCCAATGGATTAAATTAGGATACTCGGGAGGTAAGGAAGCGGTGTAGTCGGTGTATTGCATGCCTGCTGCTCGAGAGGTCTTATATTTATATTGATCAATTAGGATGGTCGGATGGCTAAAAAGAAAAGAAAGGAGAAGAGAGGGGACGGCCATAGAACGCCCCCTTCGGTTAACAGAGGTCGGTGCTCAGCACCAGGCACGAGATTTCAACTGTGGCGATGAAACCCCTCCGTCACAGGAGTACAACGCCCATGCAACGAGTTACAGGAAATAAAACACAGGGTAGCTGCACCGCTAAAGGGCATGGTCAGTGTCTAGGTGGCGGTTCATGTCGAGCTGGGTAGCGACGGCCACGCTGCAGATTGGGCAGGCAAAGCTTTCTCCGAGGCACACGAGGTCAGCCTCGGGTTCAGAGGCCGCCGATCCTTGTTGAGGCAACGCTTTCGCCATCGTGTCTTCGGCAATGCACACAACCTCATCCTCGCTGGCAACGGCCTGGGCGTCATAATCATCCTCCATCGTTTTTGGCAGGGGGCTTGCCTCTTTGAGCTTGTCCGGTGCGGTTGCCCGGCGCGCTCGCTGGGCTGGAGTTCGTTGCAACAGGTCAAGCACAGAGGTGCTGGCACGGCGCGGGGGCACACCTATAAAAAAACAAGGAATGAGGCGCATGGGCTTGACAAACACCTTCAAACATATATTCGGTGAAGGTCGGGTCACCAGCCAGACGTACTAGCGCCTGCAGAACGCTTGGCCGTGGGTTCATCCGTCTGCTCGGGTGGGCATGTTTCGTCGTGCTGCTTGCCAGATTTCTTCTTCTTTTTCTTCTTTCCATAGTCCTCCGGCTCGCGAATCTAGACGGCAGGATGGCTGAATAAAAGAGTTCAAGCGGCCAACGCTCGTACAAAAGTGGATAAGCGACAGCGGCAGAAGTGCCGGGCTGTGGCCCACCGACCTTGACGTAGTTGCCTCCACAATTACGCTGATGATCAGCCCACCAAGGGTCTCGCGGCGAGGGCGCACGGTTCATGGCACGTTTGACGAGCCCAAAGTAAGGCGATCGTTTCTGACAAGGACCCCTGATGGGCGAGTTGGTCCAACACAACAAAGTGAGGGTCACCTCAAGTGTCACGGAGCGGCATAGTACAATATGCTTGCAAGGAAGAGGTGGCAAGAAGGTGGTATAAGTCTTACTGGCACTGCCACCAGTGAACCCGATGCAAATCGACTTCGTCATGAAAGGTGTGAAAGACCGTGACCTGGCTTCCGGAAAGCACGTTGATCCGCTAAACACACAACAACAACAACAACACACACACACACACACACACACACACACACACACACACACACACACACACACACACACACACACAAAGGTGAGGAGGGTGCACGCTACTCTTTTTGCCCCCTTCCAGTAACACAGGCTCGGTGCCAGCATGCGGGGGCAATGGGTGCCAGGTGGGGCAGAGCGGGTAAATACCTGCATGTGGTAGTGAAAGTTGGGGCCGTGGGCATCTCGATCCCGCTCGCCCTTGGAGAGAAATAGGTAGGCTGCATGTGACTCGAATTGCAGTGGTATGAGCAGAGAGGCTCGTAGCTGGGGCAATGCAGGTGTCATGGCCGAGTGCAGGACGTTGCTGAGCTGGTTGGCAGCGTACCGTGAATCATTTCATGCAAAAGGGTGTTGACCAGGTCGGCGCGCGGACGATACCGCAGTAGAGGCTAAATAAATAAAAGAGAGTGAACTGGGGAGGACCAGAGCAAGTCTGCACGCGAGCAGGACCAATGTGGGGCCAATGGTCGAGGCGTTGGAGCATCCGGCATCAAGCTGACCTGAGAGAGTCGCACGCTGCACAATTGGCCATCGAAGCTGCAGACACCAGCGCACAACGTCATGCGCGCTGACCACTTGACCTGTCAAGTCCAGGTGAATCAAGGTGCGTGAGCAGAGCATACGAGGGTCCAGCCTTGGACCTCGACCCACCTCGATGCCATCAAGCTTGGAATTGAAGAAGAGTCGATTAAAGATCTGAAACAGCTCGAAAATGTCTGGGTTTGGGTCAAGCGTCTGCACAGAGGGTGAGTGAGAGAGGGAGAGAGAGAGAGAGAGAGCGAGGGGCATGGAAGCGTCAGCGACATGGGTTCAAGACCGAAGCTCAATGAAGAACACAACTGAAGCAGCAGCACAATCCTTGGCACACGATAAAACACCATCTTCAATGATATGCATCCACCCACCTCCCAAGTCGGATCCACCACAGACAGCGCCGCCGGCAAACTCGCAAACCGATCCGGCAACCGCATCCCCGCGCTGCCCGCCGTCCTCGCTCCCGCATCAGCCATGATGATGATGCAGGAGCGATATCTGTCTGACGTCTGACAATTGCGACACTAATGTCATACTAAAATGTCAGAGAAAGTAGAGAGAGAAGAGTAAGAGAGAGAGAGACCACACACACACACACACACACACACACACACACACACACACACACACACACACACACACACGCGAGGCAGCCGTCATGGGGGCAGCCGCAGGGGCAGGGGGCGACAAGATGGGCAACAAGGCCAAGAGGGGTCGGGGGCAGCAAAAGGGCAGGGGGAAGAAGAAGACGGGGGGACGACCGGTGACACAGGTGGCAACGGCTCCGCTGGTCAAGCGCGTGGTTGAAAAGGGCCTCGTTGGGCGGCGATCCGGTCGAAAGCAGTAGGTGCCAATGACCAGGCCTCGGCTGCGCCCTTGCTGTTCGGTCAATCTGCGCTTGAACCCTTGTGCTGACCTGCTTTGCTGTGAATAGTGCGGCTGCCATTGCCTATATGCATCAGCTCAACAAGGATTTGGCGCACGCGCAGGCCAATCAAGAGACGCACCGTGCTGCTGCCATCGAACAGGAGCTGACCGAGTTGGGAGGGATCGAGGCCTACCAGCAATTCTCCCTCAAGAGCGAGTCGCGTGGCGTGACCAATAGCTCGCGCTGGGTCGTCAGCATGCTGCGCGAGGCTCAATTACATTCTCCAGCAGGCCGACAAGAGGCATTTGGCGCACCCCTCCCCCAGCTGGCTCTGCTTGACGTGGGCGCGCTGGACGACAATTACCGACGCGAGCGCGCTTGGATCGCCACCCGAGCCATTGACCTCAACTCCCAGCACCCGTTTGTGGAAAAGTGCGATTTTTTCACCGTGCCGGATGAGCCGCGCTACCATGTCATTTCCTTGTGCCTGGTCATCAACTTTGTCCCTTCCCCCGCCCAGCGCGGTGCCATGCTGCGTCGGTGCCACGAGTTGCTACATCCCGATGGTTGGTTAGCCCTCATGCTGCCTCTGGCCTGCGTCAACAACAGCCGGTACACCACCGAAGATCGTCTTTTGCAGATCTTGGGTGCCGTCGGGTTTGCCGTCCGGCAACGCAAGCATACCAAACGCCTGGCCTGTTATTGGTGCCAGCGCGTCGAACCGCAAACACCCGTGGCTCGAGAACTCCAAACCAAGGCAGTCCTCGTCGAGGGCGGCGGCCGCAACAACTTTGCTATCACACTCTGAGCCCGCGTCATTGGTATATTCTCTCATAGCTCCTTCTGTTTTTTTTTTTTTTTTTTGCATATTTCTAATCTTGTAAATGGTGGCTGCGCCACCCGGGTGTGGGGGCTTTCATGCCATGTCCTTCACAGCGTCAAATGAAACATACGCAAGAATCTCTTGTTTATTTCCCCCCTCGACTCTTGTCTATGAAAGCGCCACATCTGGAAAGTCTTGAATTGGAGGTCAACAAACGCAGCAACAACTCCATGTATATGCCCCCATGCCAAGCTTTCTGGGCCAAAACGGACGACACTCCAACACTCGCCCCCTCAAAGAAATTAAGAAAAAAAATCAAGAGTTACACACACACACACATGCAAAAAGTAGCAGCTACGATGAACATGGTATATAAGTCGCAATGCTGGTAGCGGGCCTTTACTCGGACAGGCTTTCCGGGTGTTCGGTTGCATTGATCAGGCGGGCCTCCTCTTCCTCGGCATTTGTGTCTACTCATCGTCAAGAGGCACAAAACAGCGAGTGAGCCGGGATTGCATCTGCCGCACGGCGTTTATGGCCGGGTCAGACGTACCTAGTTTCGGCACCTCGACAACAATGGTGCTGGACACGAGCTATATAGAGATGAATTCACCAGTGGGTCAAGTCAGCAGAGCCAAACAAGGCACGAGCGGGCGCCTTGAGACATTGTGGTTCATGCGGAAAACAAACCCCAGCAATGACATGGAAGGCCTGTGCCCAAACCACCACCACGGCCGCCAATGCCGTGCGACGGCGATGCGTGTAATTTTCCTGCCAGACCGCCCACAAAAAGTGTGAAGTTCACAGGCAGACACATGAATAGTCACAACTCGGCGAGCAAAACAGGCAGGCACTTACCGCGTAGACGCTGTGATTGAGAATGTAGGTGGAGATGCCCAGCGAGATGACCCCGCATGCCGAAACGTAGGCGGCGGCGCCCAAGTACTTGTGAGTCAGGAGGAAGCTGCGCTTCAGATTGACATTGCTCGACATGAAGTACACAAAGGCACCATAGATAAACTGGAAAGTCAGCAGCATCAAAGCTACGAGGTTGCAGGCCAGAGCAGGGGTCGCATGTCAGGCAGCCGCAGACCAAACAAGGCCATGGCAAATGGGTGGGTAGGGTCGATATTCATCTTTGCACTGTCGTGCACGGGGGCAGGTCACATACTCGCAAGGCCCAGCCAGGAGTGGATCGAAGCCAGGTGCGGCTTCTTGCCCGCAGCATGATTCTTAAAGGCCTGTGAAAGGTCAAGAGGGCAGTGAGGCGGCCCAGCTACACAAGCGCGACACCGCACATGGAGGCGAACTGGGAGCACTTACCACTGCAGCGCCCACCCAGCCCAGGGCCAAGGCAATCAGGTTCATAAAGGCATGATAGCGCTGACAAGAGAATCAAATTGAGCAGCAGGATTGTGAGTCGCTGTGTTGCGCATCGAAAGAGAAATGAAAGCCACTTCGGGCCAAGTGGATGCAAGGAACAATCTACAAGGCGTACTGTCCAGATCAGACCTTGCGGAGATCACGGGGTGCAAAAACCAAAGGGGCGGTCTTGTAGGCACTCAGGCTCTCGGCAATGCAAAAGAGCCAGGCCACGCTCAAGAGAAGAGGGTGATAGTTAAAGGCCAAGACTGTCGGTGCAGATTCGTGTGTGTTGTGAAAAGAAACAAAAACGCGAACACTGTGAGTGGACGATTCGACATGCAGAAGACGTGGTGTTTCGGGATACGCACCACATTCGCCGCTCGGGTAGCAGAGCTGGTTCAAGGCCCCATCCCAGCGCAACATGGCAGCCAGCAGGATGAAGTAGGTGATGTACTGCAGGGGGGGAAAGAGGCGATGGGCGAGTTAAGTCAAGTGGATAGCATGCCGTGGCCGTCAAAGTGTCGAATCGTACCAGAATTCGCATCAAAAAGCCATTGGATTCGTGTCGTGCCTTGCCAAAGCCTGCATACCCAGCCATCATTCATGTGTCAGGAACACACAGGAGCGTTGTTCGCCGGGGTGGTATGCCTGCTGCAACGTACCAAGCAAGAGGACGTCGGCCACGATCACAGCCACGGTGGCCGTCAGCGACAAGCCCACGCCCACGCTAGACCATGATGGCCAATCACACCAAAGGACCACATGAGTCGCGTACGAGATCTCCGGGCGTCAGATGTTTGTTCGGCATGAAGTGACATCTCGAAATCCACCCTGCTTTCACAACCCAAATGCCAAGAATCTCTACCACCTCAAACCCCTCCCCCATCTCCCCCCCTCTCCCCTCTTCCCTGACCAGTCCCCCCCCTTGCGCACACACACACGCAGAGGAGCAGGGGGGAGGGGCGTACCTGTTGGCATCAATCTCATGCTGCGACACCATGATGATCTCGTTTTTTCTTCTTGATCTCCTGCTGCTCCAAAATGAACATTTTTGCTGACATTATTCACAATTTTGAATGTACCTCTTCTAAGTTTATTCACGACAAAACGAGGTGAGCATGCATTGAAGAGGTTAAAAGCGCGATTAGTGAAGTTTGTGTAGTTTCGTTAATGTGTGTAGTGTAAGTTGTTGCAGGTGATGTCGGTGCTTTGATCGATTTGCTTTTGGTGTTTGAGGTGCTCATTGGCATTTTTTTTTCTCGAGTGTGGCTGCTGCTTCGGTGTATGCCGTTTCGCTTGCTTGGCCATCGCTTGACAGGTAGTGGATCCAGACGGTCTTTCTGCTTTATTGGAACTGTGCTAGCAACCTCAACGCCTGCCGTCCCTTTGCTCAAGGTGAGCGACACGAGGCCACTGTCACTGACAATCATCCATCACGCGTGATCTCAACTTCTGTACTGACTTTCAACGATGAGTTTAGAGCAACAACCAGTTTGTTTCTCCGCACAGAGTGTGGACCTTACGGTCAGTCATCCACAGAGACTCGGTTCCCACCATGAGCTCCCGCAAAATCCACCTTATTGCCTGGCTGCCGTATTGGATCACGCATCCCACTCGGCGGTTCTCTGAGTTCGAGTCCGACAAAAGTACATTTGAATTTGGAGGGGGCTTATGAGATTGGTCATGCAAATTGTGCTGAGTGATAGACACCGAACACCGTGACCATGAGTGATGATGGAGCGCAGCTGTGGGATGCGTGTGGTTCATCAGATCCACAAAAGGCGCTGCAGCTGTTGACCAGTTGGGACCAACAACGTATTCGACGTGCTGCCCAATACAAAGGTGGTTGGGTACGTATGCTGTTTGGTATGATGTTGTGTGATATTGGTTACACTTTGAATATGTCACTAGATGGGGTGACGTTATGGTATCACATGGGACATATACTGCATGTTTGCATCATCCCACAGGGCAGTACACCACTGCACAATGCCTGCGGTAAGGGTCATGTCAAGGTGGTGGAGATGCTGTTGAAGCACGGTGCTGATGCTAAAGCCAAGGACAACGTCAGTACAGTACCTCCCTCTTCCCCCCTTGACCCCCATTGTGATGGTGCACCTGTACCACACGATGCTGATGATGATGATGCTGATGCTGATGCTGTACCTGTACGTCATGCTGATGCATCATCCCACAGTGCGGCAATACACCACTGCACTGGGCCTGCTATCACGGTCATGTCAAGGTGGTGGAGATGCTGTTGAAGCACGGTGCTGATGCTAAAGCCAAGAACAACGTCAGTACAGTACCTCCCTCCTCTCCCCCTTTACCCCCTCTGGCTGCTGCTCCTGCTCCCGCTGCCCCGTCGCGTTTGCCCCCGTCCCCCGTCCCCTCGCCCCTCTACACCCTGCCCACTTCTTCTTTCCCGCTCTTCCTTTTCTTTTCCGCTATCCCTCTTCATCCCCCGTTTTGCGTCCGCGTTGTGTCGGAGCTACCTGCGACTTGCCTTCAATCCGGGCACCATCCCACCCCTTGTTATCGCGCCTCTGCCTCCCTTGCGCACCCAAGCAGCTTTGAATGACCGTTTCCTAATTTTTTTGCCTCGATCTCCCCCGTACCCACCCTCTGATGCTCCCATTCTGGTGCACCTGTGGCATATGACAATGATGTTGTACGTCATGCTGATGCATGGACCCGCAGAACGGCACGACACCACTGCACAAGGCCTGCAGTGAGGGTGATGTCAAGGTGGTGGAGATGCTGTTGAAGCACGGCGTGGATGCTAAAGCCAAGAACAACGTTCGTACTTGCCTCTCTTTGCCGGGGCTGTAGCTTAAGCCTTGTGCTTGCTGTGTCTGCATTTTTTGCTGGGCTCTGCGCCCCGCAACGCTCTTGTTGACCTGCTTTATTTTCGCTGGTCTTCGTGCTTGACCTTGCCTCGTGCTTGACCTTTCTCACTTTTGCTGACGCTTTTGTTGATATTGTGTTGCTGGTGGTGGTTGTGGTTGTGGCGGTGGCTCATCAACCTGCAGGATGGCACGACAACACTGCACAGCGCCTGCAGTTCTGGCCGAATGGAGGTGGTGGAGATGCTGTTGAAACTTGGCGTGGATGCTAAAGCTAAGACAAACGTTAGTAAAGTACCCTCCCTCCCCCTGTACGATGATACACCTATCTCACATGATGATGATGTGGCGGTGCATGGACCTGCAGGATGGCACGACAACACTGCACAGCGCCTGCAGTTCTGGCCGAATGGAGGTGGTGGAGATGCTGTTGAAGCTTGGCGTGGATGCTAAAGCTAAAACAAACGTTAGTACAGTACCCTCTCTCCCCCCGTCTCCCCTCCCTCCCCTGTACGATGATACACCCATCTCTCATGATGATGATGTGGCGGTGCATGGACCTGCAGGATGGCACGACAACACTGCACAGCGCCTGCAGCTCCGGCCGAGTGGAGGTGGTGGAGATGCTGTTGAAGCACGGCGTGGACGCTAAAATCGAGACGAACGTTCGTACCTGTCTCTCTTTGCCGGGGCCGCAGCTCATGGGTTGTACTTGCTGTGTCTGCATTTTTTGCTGGGCTCTGCGCCCCGCAACGCTTTCGTTGGCCTGCTTTATTTCCGCTGGTCTCGTGATTGACCTTGCTTCGTGCTTGACCTTTCTCACTTTTGCTGGCGCTTTTGTTGATATTGTGGTGCTGGGTCTGGCGATGTGCAACATGGTGGTGGTGGTGGTTGTGGCGGTGCATGGACCCGCAGGATGGCACGACACCACTGCACAGCGCCTGCAGCTCCGGCCGAGTGGAGGTGGTGGAGATGCTGTTGAAGCACGGCGTGGACGCTAAAATCGAGACGAACGTTCGTACCTGTCTCTCTTTGCCGGGGCCGCAGCTCATGGGTTGTACTTGCTGTGTCTGCATTTTTTGCTGGGCTCTGCGCCCCGCAACGCTTTCGTTGGCCTGCTTTATTTCCGCTGGTCTCGTGATTGACCTTGCTTCGTGCTTGACCTTTCTCACTTTTGCTGGCGCTTTTGTTGATATTGTGGTGCTGGGTCTGGCGATGTGCAACATGGTGGTGGTGGTGGTTGTGGCGGTGCATGGACCCGCAGGATGGCACGACACCACTGCACAGGGCCTGCAGTAAGGGCGATGAAGGTGGTGGAGATGCTGTTGAAACTTGGCGTGGATGCTAAAGCTAAGACAAACGTCAGTACAGTACCCCCTTCCCCCCGCTCCCCTCCCTCCCCCTGTACGATGATACACCTATCTCACATGATGATGGTGTGGCGGTGCATGGACCTGCAGGATGGCACGACAACACTGCACAAGGCCTGCAGCTCCGGCCGAGTGGAGGTGGTGGAGATGCTGTTGAAGCTTGGTGTTGATATTGAAGCGAAGGACACGGTGAGTAGCCCCCTTACCTTGTCTGCGCTTTTTCCTGCATTTTTTCCTTCCTTGTCTTCCTGGTCTGCAGTTTTTCTTGACTTGCGTCGTTGTGTTATTGTGATTGTCTTTTTCTTGAATTTTGTTGGTTTGCTTTGCTTGTGCACTCGCGGCCGTTTATCGAGACCGTTGCATGCCACCTAGCTTGATCTGTTCTGTTCTGTTCTGTTTGTTTTGTGCCTGCGCCTGCTGTTTCACGCGCTGGTGTTTGTCTGAGGCTTTGGTGTTGACTCTCACGATGCCATGCGACTAATGATTGTGGCGGTGGCTCATCAACCCGCAGAATGGCACGACACCGCTGCACAGCGCCTGCAGGTTCGGCCGAGCGGAGGTGGTCAAGAAGCTGCTGAAGTGCGGCGCTGATGTCAAAGTCAAGGACACCGTGAGTACCCCCACTCCCCCGATTCGCACACAAGTCCAGAGCAAAGCTTATTATTCTAAGCAAACCAAAAAACAGCAGCAGCAGTAGAAGCAGCAGCACACCGGTTTCTCCTCGGCACGTCTCTCCTGTCACCTGATTGTCCTTCTTTTTTGTTTTGCTTTCCTTTATTTACTCCTGCTCCTCATCAACTTTCTTTTTTCTCCACCCGCCCTGGTGCGCCGTGATTTCTTCCCACTGTCACTCACCTTGTTTCACACCCACACGTTCTACTTTTTCTTGTATTTTGCGTGCTTACGAGTGCTCCTGATGGAGGTCTTTGCCATTGGAAGCTTTTCCTGGCCAAGCCTGCTCTACTATTGTCGTTTGCCTTCATTTGCGTGCTCAAATATATACAATCGTCAACCTTGCCGGCACCCAAACACAAAGCTTCCGCCTTTCATCACCTTGAAACCAAAGGATGTGATGGCCCGCTGATTGCTTGATGTGTGGCTTGCAGAACGGCAAGACACCGCTAGATGTGGTGCCTTCTTATGGTGACAATATTCGGCCCGTGTTGGACGCCTTTGCCATCCCTCTCGCCTGGCTGCCGCCACTGCCCAGCCCCGCACCCACCCTAGAGGTAGGCGCTTTATTGTGTGTCTCAGAGTGGTGCTTGACACACGCATCCCTCATTCGACCTGTTGCTTGTGGTCAACGGCATCAAATGACACTAAACAACCCCATCAGACCACAGCCTCTGCCGTGGTGGCGGTGGACACTTGGCTCAAGCCGCTCTTGCCCGAGCACAACACCACCCATCCCCTCCCCCATCTCGACGCCTTCATCACTGGGGCTTTATCGCACCTCCCCAATCAGGGCGTGGTTGCCGATATGAAACAAACCATAAACGAGGCGCCGTTGTTTTTTTCTTCCATGAACTGGACTGGTTTCCAGAAGATCACTGCCACAGCCCTTGACGCACTCGATCAAGCACTAAGGGTGCCAGAAGCACTGAACAACCGCTTGAGCCAGCTGGATTCAAGCTCTGACAATCTAGAAGCGGTGCTTCAAGAGTTGCATGCTCTCACAGCCAAGTTTAAGCTGAAAAAGATTCTTCATAAGCTACAGACTGCGCTAACAGCCTGCCCCGCGCCGCCTACGGCACCAGCATCCTCACCAAATGCACCGCCCACCAACCTGGCAGCGGCCCTGGACAAGGTCATTGCACTGAGCAAAGTGGGACCCGAGCTCCAAGAGCTGCTGACCAGCTCCAACAACAGTCTCAAGTGCCTGATTCTGTCATTCATCGATGCGCTGGACGCTGTGGCAAAAGCAGGAACGAGCGACACCATCCATCGCGTGGACACGTTACGGAATCTTGCGCGCTGCCAGGACGTGAGCGAAGCACCTCCGCCCAAGGTTTTGCCCGAGGCCTGGGAACAGCTTGTCCAAGCACACAATGAGCTCAGCTTATCCAAGCTGAACGGCCTTATGCAAGTTGCCCAATGGCAAGCCCCTCCCGATTACGAGCATCAGGGCTGGTACTTGACGTTTGTGCTTCACGAGTCACAGGCCTTGGTTAAGCAATTGCAAGACATGATCACATGGCAGGAGACGACGCTGTCTGCACTGAAATCATGCATGAGCTTGGCTAGCAATCTGGTCCAGGGTCATGTCGATGAGGATGGGGCGTCACACGAGGAACTAGACAAGCTACACGAACAAATCAAGGCTGCTGATAAGTTTTTGAGCGTTGCCCCGCAAGACATGCGCTCCGGGCTCGAGCAAAACCTGGCAGAATTGAAAAAACGACATGCTGCCTTACAAGAGCAACTTTCAGGACAATCGCGTGTGGACCACGTCATCGAGCTGACAGAGCTACTGCATCAACACTTTCCAACCCTACTGGTGTTTTTAAACCCCAGGCAGAGCTCTTTGGGTGCCCGCCTCTGCACCGTGCTCGGTCCAGATCTTCCGGCCACCCTAATTTTGGAGGCCATGACCGAGGTTGACCAGGGCTTGGCGCTCTCTAGTTTGGGCCGACTTGAAGTTCACTACGTCCAAAACCACAAAGTCTACAAAGCCCGTGCCGCGCTCCCGAGGTGTCCCGAACAAGATTTGGCCGTCAAGGAGTACGTTTTTGTTCAGCAGCGCAAGCAGGATCAGTGTCGCACCTTTCTCCGTGAACTCCGCGCCATGCGCCGGCTTGAGCATCCGCACATTGTCCCGGTTCTGCATGCACTGGTTGAAGTGAACAGCGGCCACCCGAGTGCGTTCTTGGTGCAGCCGTGGTGTGCGCAAGGTGACCTGCAGCAGTGGCTCAGCCGGGCCCGGCAGCAGGCCACCTCCAACATTGTTGCTGGGATAATGGCCCAGCTGCGAGCGGCCCTGGCTTTTATGCACAGCAGGGGTCTGGTGCACCGTGATGTCAAGCTGAGCAACGTCATGTTAGACGGCGAGGAGGATCAGCCCGTTGTGCGTCTGGGCGATTTTGATATCGCCAAGGCCGCCGTGGAAGCTACTATGCTGCCCTGCACCGCCACCGCATCAGTCGGAACATCAGGCTATGTGGCACCCGAAGTTCTCTTTGGCCGTGGTCGCGTGGGTGCGCGCCCAACGCAAGATGCCTTTTCATTCGGCTGCGTTCTCTATAATACTTACATGTTTCCGCAGACGGTGCCTCCTGCTCATCCGCAGCTGAAAGACGTGATTCAGCAATGTCAATGGAACTCGAAAGCTGACGCAACCATGCTCAACTTTCCGCACCTGGCCGCCGAGGTTGGTGCAACGTTTTTGTCCTGCTTCATGAACATGCACCTTTCTCTGCAACTGACCGATTCGTTGTTCATCTTGTAGATGTGCGATGCCACGAGTGATCTCTACAAGGAAACGCGGTCGTTTCTTTCCACGGACCCGAAAATGCGTCCAAGTCTTCTCAGTGCAGCCCAATTCACCCAGCAGCCGACCACTGTTGCTCACATTGCGCCCGCAGTCGAAATCTTACGCGACGCACCCGAGCTCGTGCCTGAGGTGTGTCAACGGCTCGATTCCGAGCGTTTGCGATGGAATGCACCGAACATGTGACTTATATCACGCTCTGGTCATTAGGTAACAGAGCTTTTGCAGCAGCTGAATGCCGACGGGCGGGGCCCAAAAAACATGATCGTGCAGCGAGTGGAGCGTGTGCAAAACGCTGTTCTGTGGGAGCGCTATAGCAGAAAGAGACGCGAGATGGTGCAGCACACGAAAGATCACGAGCACTTTGCTCGCCTCTGCACGGCAACCGTTGATGCGCTGCCGGGACAGCCGGCCTTACTTCAGGAGGCGCTTTGCCAGGAGCGCTTGTTATTTCATGGAATTGCTTATGACGACTCGCAGCGCGACAAGATTGTGCGCCTGGGCTTGGACTATCGCTTTGCCGGGAACGGGGCTGGTACTCGGTTTGGGCTGGGCGTCTACCACGCCGACCATCCGGGCAAGGTGTGAGCATTGCCGTGGACGAAAACGCTGCGAGTGATCTAAACGCATTTTTCCAAAATTAACCATGTTTTGGTGTGTTTTGCAGAGTCACCAGTATGCCACACCGGGACCGAACGGCGAGCGCATGTTGATCGTTACGCGAGCTCTTCTGGGTCAAGCTTTTGTTCATCAAGCACCCAGCTCTGGAGCGCTGGCCCCTCCACTCTTGCCCGAAGCGCCCAATAACGAACGGTACGTGAGCTGAGCTGACCGACCTTTTGCACATTGGCTACCACAGCCGAGTTATGCCCCCATCCAATTGCTTGCGGCTTTTTTCCTAGATACGACTCGGTCATTGCCACACCGGCCGGGCAGTTTCACGAGGTGGTTGTGTTTGACAATGATCAAATCTACCCCGAGCTAGTCGTCTACTACACAGCCGACTAGAACCTGCGTTGATTGGTTTCGACGACTGCAGGCGGCACGTGCATCAAGCGAGACTGTTCTGTTGCTTGGCAAAGTTGTAAAATTGCTATTGTGTGCATCCACTTGATTAATACCCATGTTAGATGCTTGGGCATCGCAGGATTTGAGGCGATGATGGAAACGCGCGCGCGCACACACACGCACAGACAGAGACAGCCAGACACATCGACAACCTCAAGGTTTGAATCTACTGCACGTAGTGTTTTGCTTTGAGATCACCGAGGATAAACTGCGTTTCAAGATTCATCTCGGCAAGACGGCCGATGTAGTCGTCAAAGCCCACAAAGTACAGCCGCGGCTGTACAGCACACTCCACGCCCGAATGGATAACCCCGTGTTCGTCCAAGAGTTGAGTGGTAATATTTTCCGACAAAAACCTGGCAAAGGGACCTACCAGCATTGAGCAATCAAACTCCTGTGTGAGCTGGCCAAACGAGGCAGAGAAACAGCCGATGCAACAAACCATGTTCGTAGTCGTAGCCGGTTGCCAAAAGCACGGCATCAAAGTCGGCACAATGACCATCCTTGAAGACCACCTGGGTGCCAAAGCGCCGGGAATTCAGGCGGTGAGGAGATACGAATTGCACGGACCTTGGTGGAACCACGGCTCGAGGTCACGAGGCATGCCCGACGCATGCCCCATTCAAGCTCATGATCTTACCGTCTTGGCTCCGGCAAAGCGGTCGACCTCTGACTTGAGCACGGCAATATCACCACGTCGGATGAGCTCCATGGTGCCAATGTCTTGTACAGGCGCACTAAAGGCAGCGGCGAAGCAAACGGCAATCAGATGAAGTTCACTGCCTCCACGTATCCGAGTTCAGCATGCATTCGCACCGATGGTGGGTCACGAAATCGAGCATCATGTTTGACTGCTTGAGCGTAACATTATACTGCAGGACGAGGTAGGGGTTGCCAAAAGGTAGCACGATCAGAGGTCAGATACATGCTGGCAGTTGGTCCAAGGTCGGGCAGACGAGGCAAGGCAAGAGCGAGAAAAACCAAAAAAAACCAAAAAAAAAACCCAGGCATTGACCTGTTCCACGTCACCCCAGATGAGTTTGTAAAGAGGGCCAGAGTCTCCATGCAGTGCCGGAGGTATGCGATGCATCAGGTCAAAGAGGTGGCCCACAATGCGGGTCACCCAGCGAGGGACCATGTGTACGGCGGACCGCAGCAGCACCGTGGGTTTGGCGTCATGCTCCCACAAGTCCAGAGCCAGCTCGCTTCCCGAGTTGCCAAACCCAACGACGAGCACACGTTGATTGGCAAACGCCGCGCCCGTCTGGTAGACCTATCAGACAGCAGCATGGAAGAGCAAGCACCATTGAGCTTGTTTGCCACACACTCCACCATTCCACCAGGAGGCCGTCCCCCAGCTTGATACCGCAGAGTGCAAGAGGGTTCCTTCAAATGTCTCTTGGCCGGGGAAGGACGGAATACGAGGTGTGCCCTCTTGCCCGGTCGCAACAATCAACGCGTTGCAGGTCCAAGTCAAGACGGGCGCATCGGCATTGCCAGTCTCTGTGTGCATGTCCAAGAGGTTGCCACGGGATCAGGTGAAAAGGCACGGCAGGCCAGCCAGACACACAGAGTTTTCGAGCCGGAGGTATTTATGCACGAGAGACACGCGTAGCAGCATACCGCGTGCTGAGACTACCCACGACTGGTTTGCGTCTTCATAGTGGGTAGCTATAACCTGGATGACATGGGTTTCTCAGTCAGCAGTCCTGGAGCATGAAGTGGCAGTGGACATTAAGGTTGGAAATCGTGTACCTCGGTGTGGCGGCGCACATTGTGCAATTCGGCATAGGCACGTTGATCTACATCCAAGGTCAGGAATCACGGGCAGCAGGGTAGTGACTTGAACCAATCATCGAGAACAATGGTTCGTGCAGGCGGTGGGAGGCCCGGTAAGCTGTACGGACATGCAGCGACCTGATCCTTGGAAAGGTACTCGGGAAAGTAATCGGGCAAGGGCTATAGACCAAGGAGGAAAACAGTGAGCATTTACGCTGTTGTGAGAACCAAATCAATCAGAACTGAGAGTAGCTGGAACTGAGAGAAGACGGACCATGTCGGGCAGCTCGGAAATGTCTCGGACGGTATGGAGATGCAGGCGCTCGTAGCGGCGGGCCCACGAGGAGCCGGGAACGTCCTTTTCCAGCACGACGTACGGGATCTATGGTGCGGGCAGTTTCACCAAATGCATGGGTCCGTTGACCAGTCCACGTTGGATTCTAGGTTTTAGCCTCCTTTTCTCCCTGTGGGGTCTTTGCGCGATGGCATGGCGCGGTGTGACATACCCGAGCCCGCTGAAGGCGTCCAGCCATGGAGAGGCCTGACGGGCACCAAGCACGCGCGATTGAGGCAAAGGCAGAGAGAAGAGACGGGGTGCAGAGCACGAGTGCCGACCAACCTGCGTGCCCGGCACCCACGACAAGCACATCGACATGCTGGGGCTCCTTGCTCAGGACATAGCCCTTGGGCCGGTCAACGCGTCGCACAGGGACCGAGTCTTGCCTAAACCGAGCCATCAAGAATGAATTCCGAGCCAAACCAAACCTCACAACCACTCACCTACCTTCACAATACCTCACTGCCACCCCTCCCCCAACCTGGCACGTACCCGATCTCACGCCGCGCGATGGTATTGAGCTGGAACAGACCGATCGCGATGAGGATCAGTCCGCCCTGAAGCAGATAACCGTTCCGCCACAACATGTTCTGTGTGTGTGTGTGTGTTTGCAGCGATAACTGCAACTTTTGCTACATAAAGTTGACATTGATCGCCATTGGAAACTGCATGTTTGGGCATAATTGCTACGGTAGTATCAGTCTCGTCGTGATCGGGGTCTGCTGCGTAATTTATGGTTGATGGGACGCATTGTGTTGCGGCTGGTGGTGGCAGGAAGGGCGGTGCATGATCAGCTGAATAGATTGCCCGTTTCTGTGGGCTGGCAGATGGCAGCAGCGACAGTCAAAGCCAAAGGCTTGAAACCAAAAGAAAAAAAAAATCAAGTAACGAGGTCGCCCCCACAAGCACCACACGACTACAGGAGTTAATAAACTATGGAAAACAAAAACAACCCCAGAGGGCCTGGCCTGGCGCCTCAGTGGTCCAACAGAGGCTGGTGCTCGTTGTTGACCTCGTAGTTGCGGGCGTTGCCGTGGTCGGAGAGAAGACTCTTGATCTCCACAAGCAGGCGGGAGGGTGTAATCTCATCGAGACCACCACCTTCACTGCCTTCTTTCTGCTTGGGGTTGAAAAACATGTGCCGGTACCACACTGCGGCAAAGCCAGCGCCCAGAAGGGGGCCAAACCAATAGATGATGTGATGCTTCCAGGCTACATTGGGGGAAAAATCATGACTGGGTGAGTGACAACGCCAGGGGGAAAAATAAAAGTCGGTCGGTCGGTCGGTTGGGGGATCAACTCGAGCGCGTGAGCGGCTGCCACGAACCCGTGTTCATCACCAGGGCTGGGCCAAAGGATCGAGCGGGGTTCATGGACGCGCCCGTGAGGGGGGCACCGATGCAAATGTCCACGACCACGGTGAGGCCAATCAGAAGGGGGGCCAAGGTGCCGTTGCCCTTGGGGTCCGCGGCGTTGGCAAAAATGACAAACATTAGCACAAAGGTCAACATCACCTGCCGCAACGCGCGATCAGAATGAGCAACTTGACAAGCAAGCCA